TACCTCACTAAACCCTGATGACAACGGAATTGTCTCGTTTCATTTCATACCTGATAGTATAATCATAATGTGAAGTAAACATGCATTTATACTATGACCTTTCACCTTTCCCAGAAAAGTCTGAAAGTGCAGTTAATTTTAAAGCTCCCTCACAGTTGTCCATGCACATGTAAGAGAAATTGTTTGTTCTTTTAACAAGGCAGTTTTGTGCAGGGGCTTCAGACAGAATTGTAGCTTCTTCATGGTTCCATTTACCAGTTGCGCAACCTTAACTAAAACTCTGAGTTAATTTATTCCTGATTTGAATTGGAGCTCCTGCTTTGGCCATATCGGAATGTCGATAGTGCCTGAGCCACAGCACGGTATATCTGCGGCTGCTTCATGATGTTCTTTTTCTGACTGTGCAGGAATCCCTGCTGTGAGCCATGCTAAAATATGTTCATTGTGCTATGTACAGCTTTGGTCTCCTTACCAAAGGAAAGATTTAAAAGGAGAGCACTGGAGGTTAACTTCATTGATTTGGGATTAGTGGGCAGCCTTGTGAGGAAAGATTAAGTTGACTGGGTCTCTATTTTTCTGCAGTTTGAAAGGATGAATGGTCATCTTGTTGAAACATGTAAAATTCTTTTGGGCTTATTAACGTAGATGCTGGGAAAATGTTTCCTGTAAACTAGGGGCTCACACCCCCTGGGTAAGTGGTTGAACATTCAGGGCAGATATGAAGAAAAATTTCCTCCATTGAAAGGTAGTGAATTTCTGAATTCTAACTGAGACATCTGTGAATCCTCAATCCTTGAGTATGTTCAGGTCAGGTTTCATTGATTTCCATGGTTTCTAAGGTAATGGAGATAGTGTGGGAAGGTGAAGTTGAAGTGGAAGATCAGTCTGTTTTCTCATATTTGTACGTGATAGGGCCCTCTGGCTAGCTGTACCAGTAACATAGGCTGAGATTCCCAGGTAGTGTGCTCCTTACAGATGCGTCGAGGCTGGGAATAGCTGCTTATTTTGTGATTGGTGCTTTTTTCCTTCCTTCCTTCCTTCCTTCCTTCCCCTTGCACTCCTGAAGAGTGATGGATCGTCGATGGATGTGCACATCAATGTGGAACAGAGTCCCATCCAGGTAACTTTGTGTTCTCTATCTTTCCTTTGCCCCCCTGTGTTCACTCTGTCTTTTCTCCTTCTCATGCCATCTGGTTAATTCATTCCAACCATTAACCCGTGCTGCTTCTGCCTTATTCATCTGTGCTATTTGCAGTTGGCATGTAGGCTGAGGATGTACAATAGGTAGAGAATGCACAGTGCAACAGTGCAATAGAGTGTAACTGAGCTCAGTTGGCATGTATGTCATTCCCTAGCTCCTAAGACCTAAAGGGAGTGGGGGTTGGAGATTTAGTTTGGCAATGATTTGCTGAGGGAATCTGGAAGCTGGAATCCTTTGCCATATATTTAATGTTGAAATCATTTGTGCTGTGGCTGCACCTTGCCTTGTGCATTTCCAGCAACTTAACATCGACACTGATCTATATGTTTTGATTTGAGTGCTTCAGGTACTTTCATTGTGTGTCTAATCTGTTTGATTGGAATATCTTGTAGTTAAAAACCAGCACTTGTCATATTTGCACACCTCTTTGGCACAACTTTTATCATGAATGATGAGGTTAGTTTGAATCATATTTCCTGCTCAGCTTTGGAAACCACTTTCCTCTTTGCAAGTCTTCTGCATTATGGGAGGAAATTCTATTACGTGTGTAGTCTAAAAGCATGAGGAAGTGCGGACTGTGAGAAGTTCTCTCTCGGATAGGACATCAAACTAAGATTCTGTCTCTCTTCAGGCAAGGAGTGCCACAAAGATGTGGTTATCTTCCTGGTACTCTGGTCAATATTTATCTCCCTAAAAAACTTAACTTACATCACCTTTTTAAAAGAAAAACAGATGAACTGGACTTGACTTCACTGCTGTTTGTTTGATGTTATGCATGAATTAGCTGTCCTGTTTCTTGCTTTGTAGTAGCGGTTATACTTCAAATGTTCATCATTGGCTGCAAGGCACTCTTGTGAAATCCTGAGCTTCTGAAAGGTGCTAAATAAACCTTTATTAAGCTTTCTAAGTGTGGGATTCTAGGGTGCTTTCTACTTGGTGTAAGTGGCTCTCAAATATTTCCACTGAAGATCACTTAATTCACTCTAACAGATAATATTACCCTCTAAAATCGCCGTCATACCTTCTGAAAGATAATGTTACTCTTATATCTGATGAAAAGGCATCTTTGCAGAAACGTACTTGAGGTATACAACAACATAATTAATGTGTTAACAAGCTAGCAGAGACGCAACAGAAATCTGGTGGCCTTGGGCACTTCCCCAAGATGTTGTTTGAAATCTCGAGATGGTAGATTTAAATACAGGTAGATGCTGCTTCCATTGAGTTGACTTTGGGTATTTATGCAACAATTATCCTGATGCTTCTGGATTACCGAGGAAGAAAGGTACCAGCATCAGTGCCTGATTGTGTTGTGCTTTTCATGATTTTCTCGCTGGAAAACATGTACGTAGGTGTGCATCAGATTTTTTTTGGAAAGCTTTGCAAGATCTGCTGACGCGTGACAAAGTTTATAGAGAGGGACGGAGGGCTGCAGGCACTTGAGGGGAGCTATGCCCTTGAGTAGAGTGGCGCCATTTGAGAGAACAACATGATGTTGGAGTAGAGGAGAGAAAACACAGTTGAATTTGGGTGTGACTTGCAATTGTAGATACTGGATGACTTTTTGTTTGAGTTATTCGTGGATACGGGCCAGTAGTTATTGGTCATCCCTTGGATACAACTGAGTGGCCATTTCCGGGGATAGTTGAGAGGCGGTCACATTACTGTCACAAAAGGCCACTCCGGATGGTTTCCTTCCCTAAAACACTTCAGTGAACCAAATTTTTTTTTTTTACAATCAACAATGATTTTATGATCATCATTAGACTTTTCATTTGAGATATTTGTTGAATTTGATCAGTGGATTTTGAACCTGAGACCCCATAACATTACCTGGGTCTCTGGATGACAAGTCTAGCGACAATACCACCGAGCCATTGCCTCCCCTTGACTGAAGTATTGCTTTCACACGGCAACTAGATTTGTGTGTCAGTAGTTCTGCTAATTCTCAATTTGTGAGCTGGTGTGTTTCTATCTTTTGTAATTTCACTGGACAGAGAGGGCATGTCACCTCTGAATACCAACACATGATACTGGAACGTTTAAAACTTTCAAGACATCCTGTGCAATGGACGTTGTTGTTTTGAGAACTGGTTAAAGGAAATGAACATTTCAGTGGTATGATGGTTGGTGCTGTCATATTATGTCAAACAGTGGGAGCTTGCAATCTTTCATCTAATTCCCTTCTCACCCAAGCTGTGGAGAGAGAGGGAGAGTGTGCAGGCGATCCCTGGTTTCCTTTGTAAGTTTGCTCATTCTTGTATCAGCAGGAAGATGCGTTCGCCGTCTGGTAGGCGGTACAGAAGCAAGCCCAGAATCAGTGGAGGAGTGGCTGGTCTGACCTTGAAGGATGAGGTGTAATTTGCTGCTATTGCTTATGTTTTGTGTCTTGCAAGCCTCCAGGATGGAGAAAATATTCAGTCCCCTCCATTGCCAAGGCTAATTTCATTGCCGAGCCGTTACATGATGTTATGTATCGAAATTAACGTGATGTAGGAGGACATTGTGTTTGTCATTTGGAAGTGATGCAAGAGGTCTGATGAGAAGCAGCAACATTATTATTTTGACCACTCCTCAGTAATGATGGAGGCTCTGGACAAGGTTTACAGGATGGTACCAGATGTGGAAAGTTATGACCATTAAGGAAGTTTGTGGAATGAAGTGTGGCCTGACGGACGTGGTTAAAACACGTAGGTGTTTGATAAAGTAGATATACTTCCTGTTGTGGGGAAGTTTATAACTGAAATATGATATGGAGAAGCACTTTAATCACTCTGTGGGTAAGACATGGAAATTACTAGTGCAAGGAGTGCATGAGGCCAGTAGCACAGAAGGGGAAGAAGGATATGGACGTGAGGGAGAAACCGAGGTTACACTCGTAAGATGAAGTAGGACTGTGGTTCATGCAGCGCTTAAATAAGAGCGTATACGCATAGGGCCAAATGGCATGTTTCTGTGCTATTAATGCTTACGTAATTGGGTTGAATGGTGACCCTGGCACTGTACTAGTTTTCCCCACAGATTTATGCAGGCTATTATTATTATGCATTTGTTATTACAATGCATTTTCACCCCAATTACTGCCTGCCCCCCTCCTCCAAATTCCACCACCACACCCTCGTCACTCTACCATGGCCTTTTCCCAACAAATGGGAACCTTTCTCTTTTCACTCTGGGAGGCAAACTTGCAAATAGATCAGTGCCAGTAGCCATTTCTACTCCGGTTTCCACGGGACAGGTCTGGCCAATCTGCTTTGTCATTTCCTAGATTCACAGATTTTGCTGACGTGTCAGGGAAAGGGCTAAGTCCAGACCAGAGCATTCTGAAAACAACCGATCTCACTCCCCTCACAGTAATGTCACCGAATCACCCTCATTGTCTCTGACTGGGAGCTTTCATCTGTGATGCTTTGAATTGAAATTGTTTTGAGACCGGAGGAGGATAGAATAGTGAACTGTCGGTGAACCATTTTTATTCGTGCAGCAATGCTAGGGTTTCCTTCCTTGAATTCAGGACTGGCTTATCTTTCAGCTAGTGGACCGCAAGTCCTCTCATTCTCTGAATACTTTACAATGAAGACAAAAATCAATCTATTGTGCCATGATGATCAGAATTCAGCTAGGTCTTGTGCTTATGGAGCATTTGATTTCAGTATACTGAACTCCAGGTGCAATAGAACAGCATCATTCTCTACTGATGGGAAAATGTCTGAGAAGAGAACCTAGGCCTCATTGAGTTGGGGTGACCGGAGCACTAGGGCATTCTTCACTGATGAAATGTGTCTTTCTGTTTTCACAGAGTGAGCCCAGAGTTCGCCTAGTACTGGCACAGCATATGCTGAGAGACATTCAGGGGATCTTGAACAGGCTGGAGGTGAGGAGCAAGCTTCTGTTTGAAATGTCACACTTCCAAGATGCAACCATGTTGCCAATGGGATTTCCGTAAAATAAAACCCGTGAAATGTGCGCTGCAAGAAGACAACCATGAGGAATGCATCAAAATGCATGTGGTTTCAGTGGTAAAAATGGAGGCATAGTGAGACGATTGGATCCAGGGTCAAGAGTAGGATTAGGTGGGAGATTTCTTGGATTGGCAAGATTTAGTTTCCAGAGATCTCTCTTTAAAAAGATATAAAAGGTGTAGTATTACAGTTTGATGATGAACTTAAAAGCTAGACCAGCCAGAAAGGCAATCGATGTTGCAGGTGCCTGTTTGGCCAGTGAGCAAGTGTAGAACAAACAAGATTCCGAAAGGACAATTGAAAAGGATGACATTTTTATGAAAAACATCAGAATGGATAGATATGTGTGCTAAACTTGTACAATTGTTAATTGAATGGACAAATGGGATGTATCCACACAGATCCTTAAATGTGCAGCCGTGAAAATTTTTGAAAGGGCAACTGGGTTTTATGGCTGGCGATATTAAACATGAAAGCAGGGATGTGATAAATCTGTACAAGGCAATGACATGGTGTAAATTGTGGCGTTCCGGGCATTTATTGCAAACAGGATATTGGAGCTATGATGCAACAGAATTATAAGGATTTACAGGAGTGATGAAACGCTTGTGGTTCTGCTGAGACAATGCTGCCTAAGCTTTCACTTGTACTCTGTCAACACCAAGCTTTACATCACCGCTGCCTCCACTGTTGGTAAATTATCAGAACTTGTATATTCAGAGATTTCCACTAATTAAGTTTAGGAAGGCTGAAGCCACTATTTTCCGTCCCCCTCTCCAAACTCCGTTCCCTACAGTAACCATCGCCATCCTTCTCCCTGGATTAAGTCAGACTGTTTGCAACACTGGTGTCACATCTGAACTTCCCAACCTCCCTTGCCCCATCACTAAGTTCACCAATTCCTGACTCCATAATTTTGCCTGGTTTTGCTTGGGTTAGCTCATTACTGCTGAAACCCTTGTTCTTGCCTTTGTAACCTCTAGGTTTAATTCTTCCCAAGCACTCTTGGCTCCCACATTCTGTCACAGAGTCGTTCAGCACGGAGGAGGCCTTTTAACCCATCGAGTCGGCCCCAACCTATCCACACTAATCCCATTTCCAGCATTTGCCTATAGACTTGAAGGGTATGACTTTTCAACTGCTCATCCATACACTTGATAAATATTGAGAGGTTTCCTCCCTGTACTATCCCTGCAGGCAGTGCATTCCAGATTCCCACCATATTCTGGATGAAAAGAGTTTTTTCTCAAGTCCCCTGTAAACTTCCTGACCTTCACCTGGAAATGATGTCCCTTTGTTATTGACTCTGAGGGGTGAACTGCTTCCTATCTACCATGTCCATGCCCCTCATGATGTTATGCACTTCAATCAGGTCATCCCTCAGCTCTGTCTGCTCTACAGAAAACAACCCAAGCCTATCCAGCCTGTTTCAGTAGCTAAAATGCTCCAACTCAGGCAACATCGTGGTGAATTTCCTCTGCATCCCCTCAGCATGATCAAATCCTTTCCTTAAACCTGAGGGCATCCAAATCTTGGACTGCGTTCTAACTCGCAGCAAGACTCATTACTCTGCCATCCTATGTTGACCTATAATGCCTACCAGTCAAATAATGTCTTGTATTTAAAATTCTCCTTGTTTTAAACCCCTCTGTGGCCTTCTCCCTCATATTTTGTAATTCCTGCTCTTATGTCCTGTAATTTCCTCTCCAGCTCCACAATCAACCAAAGTATCTTCACTGCTCCAACTCTGACCTTGATCCTAATTTTAATGGCTTCCATCATTGATGAATGCATCTTCAGTTGCTGTGATCCCTCGCTCTGGAATTCCCTCCCTGCTACTCCAACTAAGGACATTTCTTTAAAACCTACTTCTTTGATCAAGCTGTTTGGTCATCTGACACAACAACCTGTATACTTGATTCAGTGTCACATTTTGGTTCGTACTGCCTTTACTAAGTGCCATGGGGGTCTAATAGTTTAATAAAGATGTGATAGATGTATAGGTTATTTTTGTTGCAGGACTGAACAGACTAGAGCTTTATTTGCTGAGCAAGGCAAGGTAAAGTAGGATCTCATAGAGGCATCAAATTTAAGAAGGGCTTAGAATGATGAAGATTGAAAGATTGTTTCCACTGATTGGTGAGTCTAGCAAGAACATTTATTTGGGATGAAAAAAGTAAGGGGGCGTCTTCAATTCAGAAAGATATTTGATTGTTTAAATCCCTTGAATCTTGAAGAGGGATAATGTGTACAAGGTGGGGAGCAGCCAGCTGATATTAGAGGGGACAGCTTCCATCTGGAACTGTTCGCAGGCTCGTTGACAGCAGCGTAGTTATAGATACTGTTCCTGCAAGCTTGGTTTCTGCCTGGGAAGAATGCTGTGGATTGCATAACACTAGAGTGATACCTGACACTGATTGTGGGAAAAATTTTAAGGAATTTAAAGTGACATGCAAGATGTTAAGAGTTGAGATGTTGAATTTTATTTTCCCTGTAGTTTACAGGTGCTGATGAACTTAGCATATTGCAAATAGTGGGTGAAGTGAGCTTGCACTCAGAAAGCAATCCTTTTGGTTCTTCATTAGCTTTAATGTGCTCTGGAGAGAATCCTATATCCATGCCGGTGTGAAATGGCAGGTCTCCAAACAGTTGACAAGTTTCATAAATGTTTTCCCTAATGTAAAATGGGAGGCCATGGTATTCATATCGTCAGATTTTGTTTAACACTAAAATATTTTGCATCAGATTGCATAAATACAGGAAATAAGTTCAGGAGTCGGCCATTCAGCTTGTCAAGCCTGCCACACCGTTCAGTAAGATCATGGTTGATCTGTCCCTTCAGAAATTGAGCAGAAATATAATTGTCTGTGTTGTTTGTTTTGCTGAAAGCTTTATTCCATTTCTGGATTATGGTTCTTCCAGGGTCAAAAGCTGGAGTTTAGCTCCAGCAGCCTCCTGGTTAGAAGATGCTGCTGTTCAGCCCTTTGCTTGAAATGACCTGTCACTAAACCTCAGTCACTACTTCAGCGCTGACCATCACTGTTTACTTCAGGTCTGCCTTTTTATTGTCTGGTTAGGAAATTAGAGGCCCTCAAAATTGTGCAGGTAGGAGGTGTGTTTAAGCTTTTGTTTGGAGTGGGTTAAGATTGTATCATGCCAAACAATTGTAGGGGCAACATCAGAACAAGTGCTAAAGACAGAGAGAGAGAGAAAGACACTTGGGAGCAAAAGACAGCTGCTATAAGTCCAAAATAGAATCATAGAGTGAAACGGTGTGGAAGGAAGGCTTTTCGTTAGGAATATCCAATTGATTCCAATCCTCTGATTTTTGTCTAGAGCCCTGTAACTTATTTTCCTTTGAAGTGTTTAGCAAATTCACTTGTGAAAAATGGAAATAAATCTGCTTCAACTGTGCTTTCAATCAGCGTGTTCCTCTCAACGAACTGAGCAACTCACCACCAGCTGGATATTGCCTTCCCCTCCACCATATTCTTTTGCTGATTGCGTTAAGTTGCTATTCTTTGACCCTTCTGCCACAGAATATCTTTTCCCTTATTTGCTCTATCAAAGCCCCACATCTCCTCTTAAACCTCTCTGTTGTCAGGAGAACCATCCCAGCTTCTCCACTGAACTGAAGCCCCTTGTTTTCTGGTGCCACGCTAGTAAACAGAAGCAGAAAACACTGGAAGTACTAATCTGCCCCGGCTACACATGTAGGTAGAGTGAGAAACTAAGTTAGCATATTCAGAGAGAAACTTGTGAAGTAAGGATCTAGAACAAAGTTCATTGTGAAGGATAACTAATGAGTTGAATAAGAATGGCTGTCTGTTCGTACAATTTGAAGTGGTTTCAAGCAGGCCAGTGGTCAAGCATTGTATGTTTTCCGTAAGTAAAGCTCCATTCTTGAAAACCTTTCTCAGGGTCATACGAATGGCACTCCGCAGGAGACGGCCGCACAGAGCCCAGGGGGTGCCACGGACTTGCCAGGAGAACCCACAGCACCGACCGCTCCGGTAGCAGGAGAAACCATGGAGACATCCAGTTCAGAGCCTTCACCAGCCACGACGGCCCCACCTCCAGAACCTGCGGCGGAACGTGTCTCCCAGGAGAGTACAAGCACATCAACATCCACTGAACCCAATGTGGGCTCCTCCTCAGCTACCACACAGACCGAAGAAGCTCCGCCTGGGCCCAAGTAAGTGTTGGCTGCAAACGTGTTGGCGGGCCTGCTGGTCGGCTTCATTTGGGACTTCTCCCTCTTTTTTTTATGCATAAAAGTCAAATGGAGAGGAAAGGTTGGGAGATGGAGGTGTCTGTCATCGTATGGTAGGTTAGTTGGTAGCTGCAAACAATTTACGCTGTGCCACATGTGTGGTCATTGCGATTTTCCCCAGTTCCTCCTTTCCATTATCACTGCTTCTGTTACCTGTAACCTGAAGGCCAATGCAAAATAACTGCTAAATTCATCTGCCATTTATTTTCCATCACTAATTCTCCAGATTGGCTTTCTATAAAATATGGACTCACTCTGATAGCTCTTTTCTCTCTTAACTATTTGTAGAAACACTTAGTATAGTTTTGGGTGGACAGCTAAACAGTGCTCCAACAAGTGGTTTCTTGCCTTTATCATTCCTACCCAAACCGTTTCCACATCCCTCTCTATTGTGCTAACACCATCATTAATTAACAGAGCCACCCCTCCTCCATTTCCTACTTTTCTGTCATTGGAAAATGAAATGTACCCTTCAAGATTCAAGTCCCAGTCCCATGTCAGCCTGTATCCATGTCTCTGTAATAGGTAGCCGAATGTACTTTCTAATTTCTATTTGTCCTGTTTTAACTGGCATGTGCATTCAGACAGAGATTTTCATTTTATCCTTCTGCTCTTTCTGGTAAATTTGTGTCTTATTTGTTAGCTAGATTTATACACTGTATCCCTTACTGTCACGGTCTGTTTATCATTACCTACATTAGTACCTTTCTCCTTGGCATTAACTGTACTCTTTTATTCACTGTTTTCCCAAATTTGATCCTTTGCCCTTATTGTTAAGTGTAAAATCCTCTCTACTTTCGTGGTTGCATGGTTGACCCAGTAAATTCAGGTGGGGAACATTTCGTAAGTGATGATCCCATTTTTCCTAGCATTGGTGCCACTGCCCCATGAACCAGAACCCACTTTTCCCAAACAATTCTTTGAACCATGCATTGGTCTTTCTAATCTGATCTGCCCTATGCCAAATTAGACATGACTCTGTTAACATTATGACTGCTGAAATTTCTGCTTAATTTGGTGTTAGCATAGATTAATGTATCACATCCAGTGACTCTTTATCTCATTCTGTTGAAGTCACTGGACTGAATGTTACTTCTGTCTTCCCACAGATGCTGCCAGACCTGCTGAGGTTCTGTAGCAATTTCTGTTTTTGTACTTCTTTTCCCTTCCTTTTCTAACTTGCTTAAACACCTAATTCCGCACTGTTTTGCAGATATTTTGATATCAAATTGTTCAAACATGTTATGACCTATCCCTGGAGAGGGTGAACTTGAACTCAGGCTTTCTAACCCAGTACTCTACCACTGTGCCACAAGACCCCTTGTATTATAAGTTGTATTAAATTAGCTAGTTTTATTTGTTCCTAATATGAATGCACTTAGTGCGGAACTGGTTGGAGCTGCTTTAATTAAGTCCACTTGCTCTTCCACTAAGGCAGAGGACGATAGCAATTTACATGTTAGATTTCAGTTAAATGCCAGTTGCAAACTACAAACAAAATCAGAATTGTATTCAAATTTGGACTTTCTTACTGCCAACTGCAAACATGAATATCAAAAACATCAAAATTAAAAGAAACATAAGGTATCTGATTCATACATGCGTAGCTGCACCCTGGGTGGAGTACCGGAGCCTAAAGCCAACGTACGCTGTTTACCATACAGTTGCTATGATGCTTGTATTATGGGGTCTTTCATTATGATTGAGCTAAGGTAGACTGCTCTTTTTTAATCTATGTTTACTATACGAGTGTGAAATGTTCTGGTGGCTCGAAACTCTCACCAACAATCAGTGATCAGAGGGCTTTTTAAAACAAAAAGCAGAGGAGGTGACCTCTGCCTGTTGTTTCCAACAGGGCAGGAAAGCTGTACCCATCCTCATGGCAAGGAGAATGTGTAGCAAATCTACTTCCGGTGCTTTTCATTTCCTAAGCCATGTTGTGGTTGAATGTGATTTTTAAAAAGTGAAATCAGTGAATTATCTCAGAGCTCTTCACTGAATGAAGTCCTGGGGTCATCGGGACTTACAAGTATACCACATTGGAAGCGTGACTAACCAATCAGCATAAGTGTTCACACACTCAGGATTATTTAGCGAATGGTTTCCAACCATGGATCCACATCTAATATCGGACGTTGCATTGTGAATTTTGAAACCATGGGCCGGTTGTTACTTTGCGGGCGAAGAACAACTGAAGGGATATGTTGTTACATGTTAGATATGTGAAGGGATAGGCACGGCTCTATTCTTTGCAAACAGAAAGATCATGCACGTGAAGTGCCCGTTTCAACTCAACAAAGTGATGACAGCCATTCTGCACTTAATTTCTCAGGGCAGTGCCTTGGGCAAACGGTCAACCTGCTTGGTTTTACAATCTAAACAAAGTTTGCCAGTTAACTGTCTACCATCTTCTAACTACTGCATTCTCCAAGACAGTACCTCCACCAATTAGTATCACTTGCCGACAGTCAGTGCTTTCTCTTTTTCATTGTTCTTTCCCCCTTTTTACTTGTCCTAATGTGTACAGGATGAAATTCTTTTGAGAAAATTTGTTTAATAATACTCAAGTTGTATTCTACCAAAATGCTATAAGTGAATTTCCTTTGCAAAAAAGTCTTGGCAAAGTACAAAATTTAGAGGTGAGTAAAGAGGACTATTATATCCACTTGGCATTTGTTCATGACCATCGAATGTCCTAAAACACTTCACAGTCAGTTAATTACTTACCAGTGCAGTCACTGTTGAAGATACAGCAGCCAGTTTTCATTCAGCAAACTCTCTCAAACAGCCATGTGACCATGACCAGATTATGTGTGGTGTTGATTGAGGGATCAATGTTGGAAACTGCAATTTTTGCGGGGGTGGGGGTCGCGGGGGCAGTCGCTGCCCGGCCTTCCATTGAAATTGTACCAACGAATCTTATGCATCCATCTGAGCAGGTAATGGGACCCTGGTCTTGTGCCTGTTTTAACCATTCAGATGGCACTTCAAACAGTATAGTACTCCCTACTGCACTGGAATATCAGCCTTGTTTTCAGTGCTCACGCCCTACTTTGGGATTTGAACACGTTGTGAAAAGAGGTGAAAATGCTTCCCCCTGAATAAAGGCTCATTACAATCTAAATTGCAAACTGTTCAGTTAATTACTGAAGATGTCTCAAATCCTAGTGACCACAAATTAATAGATATGAAATTTGGGATAAGAATGGAACTTTTTCGTCTAAAAGGGAATAATAATCAATAGGTAGGATGGAAAGGACGTTGAAGTAGACCATTTCAATGGTCAAGGGCTTTTCTTTCAGAAAGGGGAAACCATGAAATGCAGTAAGAATTCAGGCCGTTAAAGTGGCCAGCCCGTCGTTCACAATTTATGCAGATTTTTTGACTTCTTGCTCTCTCTTTTTCAGCCACCCGTCCCCCACAGAGTACCTTGAGGTTCTGACTGAGCTCCAGAGGGTAGAGGCGAGACTGCAGCCATTTGTGCAGCGGTACCAGGAGATCCTGAGCACGGCCACAACTGCGGATTACAACAACAATGTACGCCACCGAGTTGTAACACCCCTCCTCCTCTTTCTGTTTCCCTTTCTGCTGCTGAAAGACCTTCAACTTCCAAACTTTACCCCAGGATAAATGCTGTTTAGGTCAGAGAGGAAGTTCTTCACTCAGGTGGTGGCGAATCTTTGGAATTCTCCATCCCACGAACGCTAAGTCAATTAATGTATTTAAGTATGATGTGGAGGTGCCGGCGTTGGGCTGGGATGGACAAGATCAAAAATCACATGACGCCAGGTTATAGTCCAAGAAGTTTATTTGAAAACACCAGCTTTCGGAGCTTTGCTCCTTCCTCAGGTGTAGAGTAGAAGAGGAGGTACACCGACACAGAATTTATAAGCAGAAAGGTAACAACCCTAAAAATGGTTCGCTGACCACCTCCTGTTAAATCTTTAATCAGTTAGAAAGGAGGGGCAGATTTCTACTGATTAAAATGCAAATCCCAGAATTTCTTTCAAGTCATTGCCTGCGTGTGTGTGACTGTGTGTGAGAGAGTATATGATGTGGTGGGGTCACCTGTAGCATGATATGAACCCAAGATCACAGTTGAGGCTGTCCTCTCTCACAAACACACTCATACACACACTTGCACACGCACACCCTCACACGCGCACACTCTCTCTGAAGCACACACACTCTCTCTCTCTCATGTCCACACACAAATCTATGGGGTGAATTATGTCATCCAAGATGTTTGTGTATTTGCAGATACATCCTATTTTGTTCAAAAAGATAAAACCAGCCTGTCTCCAGGTTAAAACACACAGATTCTAAACAAGGCCTCACATCTAAAATGCATTGTCTGATCTGAGATGTCACCTCTTGTACACATTAATAAAACCTTTAATTATCTCGGGGCAATGACCTGAAAGAACTTCTGGGATTTGTATTATAATCAGTAGAAACTTGCGTCTCCGTTCTAATCGATTAAAGATTCAACAGGAGGCAGTCAGCAAACCATTTTTAGGGTTGTTACCTTTCTGCTTATAAATTCTGTGTCGGTATACCTCCTCTTCCACACTACACCTGAGGAAGGAGCAGAGCTACAAAAGCTAGTGTTTTCAAATAAACCTGTTGCGACTATAACCTGACATCGTGTGATTTAAAACTTAGATCAGTAAACTTTTGGATCCTGAGGGAATCAAGGCATCTGAGGAGTGGGCATGGGTTGACAATCGGCCTGGTGTGCCATTCGCTGTGATTTGTGTTCGAATTCCATATACCTGCCTCCACTCCATTTCGCAGGCTATCAAAAATCTGATCTTGAATTAAAAGTTCTCAGTTGAGTTAGGAAAAACATTTCCTGACTTGTGAGCCAGACTCTTGATTTTGTATTTGCAGCTATTTTGGCCCATTGTGTCCATGCCAGCTCTGTGCAGAAGAAACCCACCTGATTTCCACTCTTCTGCCCTTTCCCTGTAAAGCTGTCAATTTTCCCTCTGTAGATTATTAGCCAATTTTTTTTGCATTGAATCCACCTCTACCGCACACTCAAGGCAGTGCATTGCATATCATAATCACTTGTTAAAAAAGATTTTCCTTGCATCACTGTTGTTTCTTTAACTAATTGCCTTACTTTGGTGACTTTTGTTTCCTGACCCTTCTGCTAATGGGAACAATTCCTTCCTCTCTACTCTGTCCAGACCACTCATGATGTTGAGCTCTGAAGATAATATAGTGCTGTCCTGCATTTCCCCCTCCTGCAAAAAATTTTCATTTTACAACACCCTATCCTAAAGAAAATCCTAAAGACGTCATTAAAATTGCCACTTAACAATTAAGTGGCTGGAAATAAATTATGCTCCCTCTACACCCTACCTTCCCATCTGCTGTGTTGCCCTAGTTGCTAAATTTGTATCTAGGTTGCAATAACACGAAGAACTGCGAATACTGGAAATCTTAAACAAAAACAGAAAAAGCTGGAGAAGCTCTGGTCTGGCAGCTTCTTTGGAAAGAGACAGAGTTAAAATTTCAAATTCAGTGATGCTTGATGTTCTGGTATCCAAAGATATACACGTTTGGTGGATTGGGCCATGCTAAATTGCCCGCAGTGTCCAGGGATTTGCGGGCTAGGTGGGTTAGCCGTGGGAAATGCAGGATTACAGGGATAGGGTAGGGGGTGTGGGTCTGGGTGGGATGCTCTTCAGAGGGTCGGTGTGGACTTAATGGGCCAAGTGACCTGCTTCCACACTGTAGGGATTCCAGGATTCTATGATGAAGTTCTCTCCACAGATGCTGCCAGACCTACTGAGTTCCTCCAGAACTTTGTTTTTGTTTGATTCTAGGTTGTCCAGCTCTGGTCACTGGTGAGTTGTACCAGTTAAATATATAAATACACCCTGTGGCCTACTGTACACAGGCACAGCCTGGTGTAGTATCACAGATCTTGGTGGTTCTACGTTGAATCCCCAGCCTGCTTTAACTGTCCTCTCTGTGGCTAGCAAATTAAAAATGCTGCATTTGGATTTAAATTGCATGAAGTTGTGTGAGCCTGACTTGCTATCTAAACTCATACCTGAAGTATACTCACTTGGACTGGGATGCTAAATGATGGTTGCACCTCCATGGATCTGTACCTCGCCCAGAATTGTCAGCACCTTTTGGGAGAACTAGAGATGAAAACTGGGGACTGGAAGAAATCAGATGAATGACTGTTGTGCAGTATTTGTTGTAAACTTCCTTTCTTGCCCTTCCTTCCAACAGACTGAAGGCAGAGAAGAAGACCAGAGGATCATCAACCTTGTCGGAGAAGCCCTTCGTTTCTTGGGCAACACCTTTGTGGCTCTGTCTGACCTCCGGTGTAACTTGGCAGCTAACACTCCCCGTCACCTGCATGTAGTGAGGCCTATGTCCCATTATGCCTCCCCTGTGGTGCTGCAGCAGGCTGTGCCCATTCAGGTGAGTTACCACACACTGGCTGTTCAGGTTTGCAAGAGTGCAGGTGAGTTGGTCAGCGATGGCTCTTGCAACTTTTTGGAAGCACCTTGGTTTGTGAGCACTCCATCCTGTGTGCTGCTAAGTAATTTTGACCAGCGTAGTTCTAGGAACAAGTTTTAACTTATCAAGACCAATCCTTGAAACTCGTCCATCTGACTGTTCCAGTGAAGGTTGTTTCTCAGCCACAGCATCAGATGGGCTCTAATCCAAGTCACAAATGACACTTCTGCTTTATCCCTGCATAGCCCACAGGAGCAGGCCATTCAGCCCCTCTCTTTTGCCATAATCTGACAGCATTGTCATCACTTCAACTCACAGCAGCATGTTAATCCCTTTTTAAAGACTGTCTGTCCTCTTTGAGACCAAGCAGTGTCCCTGTCTGCTTATAACCCATCAGCACAAAAATGTTGCTTATCAAAACGCTGCTTGAGGAAGTCAATTGTATATACGATAAAATAAGAACAGAAAATGCTGGAGAAATTAGGCCCGTCTGGCAGCATCTGAGAGAGGGGAAGCGTTAACATGCCCAATATAACTTGTTCAGAACTGAAAGAAAGGGGGAAATGTGTAATCGGTTTTATATTGTCCAGGGAAGCGATGCCTGACTGGTCTTATCGCTGGACTGTTAATCCAGAGACCCAGGTAATGTCATGGGGATCAGGTTGGATTCCCACTGTGCTGGATCATGGAATTTAAATTCAATGAAAATCTGGAATTAAGAATCTGATGATGACTGTGAAACCATTGTCGATTGTTGAGAAAATTCTGTCTGGTTCCCTAATGTCCTTTAGGGAAGCAAACTACCATCCTTACCTGGTCTGGCCTACATCTGCCTCTAGGCCCGCAGCAACGTGGTTGACTCTTAACTGCTCTTTGGGCAATTAGGGAATAAATACTGGTCTAGCCAGCAACGCTCACATCCCGTTAATGAATAATAAAAATATAAGTATGGGACGGGGTGGGTAAGGAACAACTGGAACAGAAGGGATGGTCAAGGGAAGGTTAGAGGATGAGGCAGATTAGATATCATAGATGTCGCAGAAACCAAAAGACAAAGAGATTGGTAATGATTATAGAGAAGAGTAGGTGTTGATGGCAGAGTCTATGTATTTAAAATGATAAAGTGGAGTCGATGGGTGTAGTATAATTTTGATTTTCAGAACGTTTTTGTTAAGGATCCCAAAGTAGGTTAGCTAGCAAAGGTAAAACATATTGAGGTAGGAGGTAGTGTACTGATATGGATGAAGGATTGGCTAAAGAATGGAAAATGGAGGGTAGGAATAAATGGATTGTACTAACATTGGCAGATCATGTTTGGTGGGGTACCACAAGAATCCAGGATTTGCAAGCCGGCTATGTATATGTTTTGGACTTGAGGACCCAATGTAATATTCCAAAATTTGCAGATGGTACAAGGCTAAGCAGGAATGTTTGATGTCAGGAAGATGTAAAACATTTTCAGGAAGATTATGGACTGGTTTAGTGATTGGGCAAGGATATGGCAGATAGAACATAATGAGCAGTTATCCACTTGTAGGAAAAAACAATGTTTAAAGTATTTCTTAAATGGTGAGAAGTTGGAAAGTATATTTGGACAAGGGGATTTGAGTGTCCTCATCAATAAGTCGTAACAAGGCATTAGTCTTTATTACAAGAGGATTTGAGTCCATGAGTGGTGAAATCTTGCTTCAGTTGTGTAGGAGCTTGGTTAGACTGCACCTGGAGTCCTGTGTGCTGTTTTATTCTCCTCGTCTCAGGAAGTATTGTCATGGCAGAAATGCAGTGAAGGTTCACCAGAATTCTTGGGTTGGTGGCACTGTCCTATGAAGCGAGATTGGGCCTCTATTCTCTCATTTCAAATAATGAAAGATTATTGTTGAAAATTCCAAAATATTTACAGCAGTAAACAGGGTAGATGCAGGTAAGATGTATTCCATGTTTGGGGAGTCTAGACCAATGCATAATTTATAAAGAAGGGGGACGCCACTGAAGACCAAGCTGAGGTGAAATATTCTTACCTCGAGGGTTGTGAACCTTTGAAAACTACCTCAAGAGCTGTAGAATCTCAGTGGTTGAGTATGTTTAAAGTGGATGCTGATACATTTTTGATTATCAAGCAGACAGGTGTAGTGTGGGTAAAACACATCAAAGTGTTCAATTGGCCATGATTGTGTTTAATGGCAGAGCAGGCTGGACGAGCTGAATACCCCACTGCTGCTCAAAGCAAAACCAAGAAAACCGGACACCAGACTGAATGGAGTTGTTTGGCAAAATGGTCACCCTATCTGCATTTTTCGTCTTAAAATAGAGGAGACTTAAGTATGAGCAAGGAATACGGTTTGACTTGACTGAAAGACATGTAAGTAAATTGCTGCTTCTCCTGGTAGCAGTGTTTGGGGCCTTGGATAGTGCTGTGGTAAATATTTCCTAGAATGGCATGGGAAAGTGCCGTTGGAGATGGATGAGTTGTTGCAGGAGATCAAAAAGCATGTGCAGGATGTGCTGCAGTGAACGGTCCCTGCATAATGCTGACAGAAGTGGAAGGGAGGATGTGTTTTGAGGTGACAGAAATGGCAAAGGACGATCCTTTTAGTGAGGAGGCTGATGGGATGAAATGTGAGGACAAAGGGAATCCTAACACACTTTTGGGAGAAAGAGAAAGGCAGAAATGAGAAAAATGGATTGGACTTGGTTCCGATGAACTGTCTTGTTTTCATTCACAAGTGTAATTGCGTGTCATAATGAGCTTTTGATCTTAAATATTCCTATGTTTTAAGAACCTCATGTTGCCTCAGTTTTTAAATGAGGAAAGGGAGGAGATGGATAAGGACCTGGCATGTTAAATATGAGCTGAAGTAGACCATTTGGCTCCTCTGCCTCACTGTTAAAATCATGGCTCTTCTTTAGCACTAACTGGTCTTGCCCGCTTTTTCTCCGTAACCCTCGATTGGCTTAATTTCCAAGAGTCTATCAATCTCCAGTTTGAAAATGTTCAACAACTGACCATTTGCCTCTCTAGAGAATTCCAACAATTCTAAACCCTCTGACTAAAGATATGCTTCCTCGTCTCGGACATAAGAGGCCAACATTTTATCTGAAGGTAAGAGTTAATGGTTAAATTAGCATGTCCAAGCACTGGGGGCGGTGCAGGACAGGGAGATTGCTTTTGTCAGTCCTGGATCTCTTTCAAAGGGAGTGTGTTGTTCCGAAACCTTGCTGAGCTACCATACATGTATATCCCACCTCCCAGATACTAAAATTGCAATTTCTTGCCATTTCAGCAGATCAATGTTGGAACGACAGTCACTATGACAACTAACGGTAGCCGGACACAGCACATGGCTGAGGGGCAGGCAACGGTCCCGCCCACTGCCAACGCCACTCCTGCTGTCCAGCCGCAGGGCACAGACTCGCGGGAAGCGCCAGAGACCCAGGGGTCGCAGGCACAGACTCAGACCCCACATCCCCGGGTTATCCGCATTACACACCAAACCATGGAGCCTGTTGTCATGATGCAGATGAATCTTCAAGGAGGTATGGTCGAGATGTTGCAAGGGCTGTAATAGCAAGGAGGTCTCCATTCTGGATTTCTAGTTGCTTTTGTCTAGGACTTGAATTTAAAGATCTGTGTTCAAGGAAAAGAGGATATGCTGGAGCAAGATGTTGTCTAACTCTTGACCCCATTGTTTTCATGGTAGTCCCTTAAGTTAAAGGGGTAGCCTGTCTTGTGACACATTTGCCCTGCAGTGTTTCTGACTCACTTAACATTATTTCACATCACATCTGAGGCTTGGGCAGTGCACTGTCTTCTTTTTAGTCCCATTATTCCACAGGTTACAACATAAATTTAACTGGCCACGATGACAACTGGTTAAAACAACTGTATACTTTCTCTATATTAGACTTAGAATTTAAAAAATCCATCCAAACATCCATTTCTTTAATAAAGTCAAAATTATTGATTTAATTTAAAACAAAATTTATTTAATGAGACTTTAAAATTGATTAATATCCTTAAGGTTGTAATATGAAAGTAAAAATGTTTACTCTTCTAATCTTACGCTTGCACATGCACACCAGGTCAAGGAGAAAAAGAAATCTCTTTGCAGCAATTCATATTGTCGGAGAGAAAACACTTTTGGCCATCAGGAGTTTTTGCTGTCAGGAACTGCTAAGATTCAAAATTTTCAGATGGCTTTTGGTATGATGTTCTGGCATGTGTCACCAAGCATAGGCAGCGCTCTCTGGGATCTTGGCAGATGTAGCTTGCTCAAGAATCACACCAATAAGAACTCTGTCATTCACTTGCTGTTCAAGAGGTCATTTGGGTTTCGTGCTGAATTCACCACTAAGGTGCTTCAGAACCTGGAGCGATGGACAGCGTGTTCTGTAACAGGCTTTTCTCAACTGAACTCAAAACTGTCTCCAAGCCTGCAAAACACAGTTCAAACAAAACAAGCACAAAACCCAGTCACGAAATTAATCACATTTTCCCTTTCATTGGATCTCTTAAAAAGAAACCGAAATCTAGATCTATACAATCTTTCGGATTGTAGTTCACAAAAGTGATTAAACATGAAACCATTGTAGCACATAGATGTATCACAGTGTGTCTGAAAGGTGTTTTTTTTTTTTCTGTTCCGCTGGTTAGATTCTGCTGCGCCAGGGAATGCTTCTGCAACTGCTTCGTCTGCAACAGGAAATTCTGGCCCAGGTAAGTGCCTGGTTAGTGCAACAACACCACTGTAAAACATTCATTCTATGCCCTCACTAAGTGTCAGATAATACTAGAGGCACGGACTGGAGACTGAAAATGGACATGATATGCCTGCAGGCAACTGAGAAGAAAGTTGTAGTAATGTTCTCTGTATTCTTTCTGAGTTAAAGGTGAAACAAAAGCCTTTTCTCTAAATAGTGCCTTTTGTGAACTCCGAGTGCCACAATGCTCTTGACAGTCAAGTACTACTTTACAAATTCTTTCGTCTTCAAGTCAAGGCTGACCATGTTCACTGTGCGTTACGTTAGGTGGAGTTTCAGTGGGTATGTATCTACTAAGACACTTTGTGTTCAGGGGATCTGTTCCGGGGATATCACAAGACAATTGCATTTTGGATGCATTGCCTGCTCAGGCTTTACCCTGTTTCATTTTCCTTGTGTGCAGCTGAAATGTGCTTCTTTCAGAGGAGGCTGTGCTGTCGTCTCTGAAGTAGTGGCTGTGCGAACTTTAATGCCCAACTGAGAGAGCAGATGCTTGTTTTCAAAACGAAAAATCCTCTACGTCTGCTTTTGCTGCTGTCAATATCCTGTGATGCCTAATGTCAGAAGCATTGTATTTTACAGAACCTTCCTTTTTTGCTGTTTTGTCCAATCTGTCACCTTTTCCTTTCGTGTACAATTGAAACAGTGTGTTCTCAATGATGTTTGGGCTGGGCCCTATATTCTGATCTTGCTCCTTTCTCAGGGGTAATAACCACTGTTGGCTGATATCCAGTTGGTACTAGCTGCAGCTGCACTGGAAGTGTAACTCAGTCCTGCTGTCAGGCACTAATTCTGCCCAGTCAACATCTTCTATTGCTATCTGCACCGATAATCCAGTTTGTCATGCAGTGATGTTTATTCATTCTTCCCTGTCAGCACCTTTGTGAATGTTAGTCTTCATTCCTTCCCACATTGAATCTGGTAACTGAAAAGAAGGAAAAAAAACCCAAAACTATCTGCTTAATCAAAATTCTTTTTATTGTTTTCTTATAATAATCACTACTGTTCTAGTGTGGCTACAAAACGGGTGCCTACCTGATGGTGTGGAAATTTTCCCAGGCAAGTCCTGTCCACAAACAGCAGAACGAATCCAACCTGGATTAATTTTACTCTCAATCATCAGAAAAGTAATGGAAGGTGTCACTGATGACATTAGTGAGCAGCACTTAAATAGCACAAACCTGTTCATCATTGTGCAGTTTGACTTGCATCGAGTGCATTTGGCTGCAGGTGTTATGGCAGCCTTGCTTCACAAATGGGCAGAGGAGCTGAAATCAATGGGTGACGGTCTGTCCTTGTTGAGACAACCTTTAACCATTTGTAGCATCGGGAAGCTCGGCAAAACTGGAGGCAGTACGAAGCTGAGTTAGGAAGCTAAACTGATTGAACTCAGACCCGGAGACACAGCTAGTACAGAGGCAAGTGGCTGTGGACGTCTGTCATCCTTTGGCCCCAGGCCATCACTGCAAGAGTTCCTTAGAATAGATATTTTCTAATTAACCTGTTCAGAGATGCTTTTAAACACCTCCCAAGCCTCGGGTTTCTCTGGATAGTGCACATTTTCGGCTGCTTCATAATGACCTTCCCTCCAGTCTTCCCTAGGGTTGAAGAGGAAATGGTAGTGTTTGCTAATTTGTAAAGTTTTGCGCTGTACAACTGCCAGACAATTGCTCTCTAACCTGAGAGAATCTAACCATCTTCCCTTAACATTGACTGATATCATCACCAAATCCCACACTATCGCCATCTTGAGATGGGGATGTGGGTTACTGTTGATGAGAAACTTAATTTGCCTTGCCTTATCAATACTGTCTGCATGAGAGGTCAGAGTCTGGGAGTTCTGCAGAAAATAACTCACCCCTATCTCCATAAAACCTGCCCATCACCTACCACCAGTCACAAGGTTTCTGGCATACTCACCACTTGCCTGGGTGAGCGCAGCCTCAACAACACTGAGGAAGCTCAGCATCATCCATGTTAAACCAGCCCACTCGATCATCACCCGTCTACAACCTTCGACATGTACTGCCCTCTGCCACCCTCTGATTAAGCACACAATGGCAGCAGTGTACACATATACAAGATGTACTGCAGTAATTTTATCAAGGTTCCTTTCAGTACTTTTCAAACCAGTGACCTCTATCAGCGAAAAGGACAAAAGCAGCAGAAGCATGGTACCTTTCCCAAGTCGTATACATTCCAGTTTGGAAACCTATCTCTCTTCTGTCAGTGTCATTGGTTCAAAATCCTGGAACTCCCCCTCTAATAGCACTGTGGGTGTACCTGCACCCTGCAGCAGTTCAAGAAGGCAAGTCACCACCACCTTCTGCAGGACCATTGCACATCCTTCCCAGGAATGCCCACATCCCATGGAAGAACTTTTTTTTTAATCACATACAACTAATAGAAGCCCTCAGCCCTTATTTAATCTCAACCTTACAAAAATTCCTAAATAGATATTAGAAATAAGCGAGAAAAGGCTTTTTTTGCTTGTGTGCAAAGTAATTCTGAGCTTTTATGAGATAATTCTGCCACTTCCTCAGTCACCCCAAGTAAATAATGATAAGGATCCCTCTGACAGAGAAGGACTAATTACCAGTTAAAGTTGGGTCATTGTCACTGCACCCACTGACCAACTCAAAATTCAGATGGTTAACTATCATATCACCCAGCGTCGTCTTCTCACCTATTGAAGTATGTCTTGTTTATTGAGTTTAAGCTTAATTTCACTGCCCCCCCCCCCAGCAACTTTCCCCCAGCTTTCAAGGTAACTGCCTGCCCACCCAAAAGAAACCCTCCCAATTCTGACCCTCTGGCATTCTATATTTCCATATACTGCGTTCAGTCCTGGCCTCCCTGATATAGGAAAGATGTTGTGAAACTTGAACAAGCTGATAAAAGATTTACAAGGGCGTTACCAGGATTGGAGCAATTGAGCTATAGAGAGAGGCGGAATAGACTGGGGCTGTTTTCCCTGGAATGTCAGAGGCTGAGGGGTGACCTTATAGAGGTTTACAAAATCGTGAAGGGCACAGATAGGGTGAAAAACCAAGCTCCTTTCCCCAGGGTGGGGGAGTCCAAAACTCGAGGGCACAGGTTTAAGGTGAGAGGGGAAAGATTTAGAAGGGACCTAAATGGCAATGTTTTCACACAGGTGATGTTGTGTGTATGGAAGACCTGCCAGAGGACGTGGTGGAGGCTGGTGCAGTTACAACATTTAAAAGGCACCTAGATGGGTATACGAATAGGAAGGGTATGGGCCAAATGCTGACTAGATTAATTTAGGATATCTGGTCAGCATGGACGACCTCAACCGAATGCTATGCATTTCTATGACTGTATGACTGTTGATGGTCTTGCCTTCAGCTTCCTGGAGTCTAGACCCTGGAATTCCATTCTGAACCCTTAACCCCTCAAGACGTCACTCTGTCCTTTAAAATGCTCCTTTTCTCTTTGAGCCAGCTTTTGTTCATGTGTCCTGATACCTCATGTTAAGTGTTGTGCGACAATCATTTTTACAAGTTAAAAGACACTATGCAGATATATGTGCATTGTTTGCTGGTGTGCAAATGTTGCACTTGCATACAACCTCTAATTTCAGTCCCTTTCCTTATTCAGGTGCCATGCCTCACATTCAAATCCCGGGGATAACACCTGAATTCATGCAGACCATCATGCATCAGATTACCCAGCAGGCTATGGCAGCAGCTGGCGCAAGCTCAGGTATGATGACAGAAACACTTTCCTGAACTCAAACGTGACACTTGATTTTGAGAATGGGGCATTGAGCAGAAAAAACAAGCAAGTCATACTAAACCTTGGCAGTTCTCTGACTGGGCCTAAACTGAGGTGTGGATATAATTCTGTGAAGGATGGCAAGACCTTGAGCAGAAAACGTTTTCCAAAATAATACTGGGACAAGAGAATTTAGTTCTGCAGAGGGAATGGAGCAGCTGGAGAAGGTTGAGGGCAGATCAAGAAGTGATATTCGTAACTATGAGGGATTTTGATAAAATCAGGCAAAGCAGTTCTTTTGCATGCAAGGGAGCCGTAGATTTAAAATGATTAGAATGAAATGAAGAGAAATTTCTAATCACACTAGATCTGGAATGGAACCTGAGCAAATCGATTGAATCAGATTCTATAGTAATTTTCAAAAGGCAGTTGGGCATGTACGTGAAGAGAGACTATTTTGTTGGGCAATGGGGAACAGTTTGGACGAAATAGGACAGCTCTCTCAAAGAACAACCACATGCATTACAGGCCAAATGGCTGTTTTCTTCACTGAAAAAAGTTTTGCACACTCTGGTGCATTAAACTGTGCTATGAACAGTTAATGCAGATAGCCCTAGGGCTCTGTAGAGGGAGTGTGTGGGGAGAAAAGTTTGAGTCAGTATATGTTTCGCAATCCTTTGCAATGGAAAGGAAGCAATTGCGTGATCATCGTGAAGCAATTGTATTTTTTTTTCCAGGTCATTTTTGAGGGTTTGTTGGAGGAGTGCCTTACACGCTAATGTTGCAGCTTACAGTGACAGGAAACATCTCTCATGTTTGTGATCATCTTTAGCTGCCGGTCAGGTGTCTCAGCAATGTCACTTGACTTGCTTGTCATTGTAGGTCAGTGTAGAATCTACTTGTCAGCCATAAGCTGGAAGCCCCATGAGCATTACTTGGTATACTGGTGAATGGCTTCTGCTTCTGGAAACCATTGCTGCGCACAGATCCTAGGGGTCTGAGAGGCAGCAAAAACAACCTCTCCCATCCCAGGGACCTATCTGGCGAAATTAAAATAGAAAATACTGGAAATGAGTAGGAGGTTAGGCAGCATCTGTGGAAAGACCAAAAGAGTTCACGATTTCTTGTTGATGACTTTTTGGTTTTAGCACTGGTGAACCTGCTGAATATTTTCCAGCACTTTCCAGATTTCCAGGACTTGCAATAGTTAGGTTTTGTATGTAACTTATCCAGTCTGCTATGATGCTGACACTTACTTCAGCTAATCTGCTCCTCCCTTTATACTCAGGAAAACTCTTACAATTTATTTTTAGATTCTTGGCTGATGTATTTCCACTCTGTATCTTTTTAATCAATTTTGGGGGCCCCTTGGCTAAATTTTTCAGACTCCAAATCTTTACAATGCAACATTGATATCTTTAAATGTAGTGCTGTCCTAAATTTCAAGTTGCTGCCTCATTTTTTGATTTTTCTTGTTTATTGGAATGTATCCTTGATGAATATTTTTGGTTATTATTTCATCTGTTTCCCATGGTTTATTTGCTGCCGTTGCCTGTTTGCCCCATCAACCTTAGCTAGCTCTCCCGTTATACCTTAATTGACTTTTAAAACAATTTTGCCGGAAGTCGCATGTGTTAATTACATAGGGCCCTGTACTTTGCAGACAGAAAGAACACACACCCACTGTGCCTATTTCAACTCAACAAGATTAGGTGACAGCTATTCGCTGGTTCATTTTTCAGGACAGTACTTTGATCAGTGTCAACTTGCCTGGATTAAAATGTAAACAAAATCTTGCAGCTAACTGGCAATTGTCGTTAACTGGTGCATTTTCCCTGGCAATGCCTCTGCCAATCAGAGTCCCCTTGCCAGCCAGTCTGCACACTCCTGTGCAGCACAAATGTTTTTCCCCTAAAACTGATATTCTTGTGAATTGTCCAGATGAGTAAGATGAAAAAAATTGATGAAGTGTTTTGTCTTAGCAATATGTAATTGGTTTGGTATAAGTTTGGATTCTTGTTTGGCACTGGAGCATGTCACTTTCCAACTTAATATGGAGTTTAATTGTGTTAATCCCATTTCCCAAAGGGTCATTTACAGAGAGAGTACTAATTAATCCTACATTACTTCACATTAATAGATGTAAAATGGCGTTATTCTTAATGTATATTCCAGGGAACTGCTGAAAATGTATTCTACAAAACAGTCTCTTACACCACTATTGCAATTTCGTTTGCCCAGTAAATGTGGAGAATCAAGCCTCCCATGATTATTACTTTGGTTTTGTTCAAGCTGTGAAATATTTCTTGCTAAACATGATGTCCAACAATATAACTACAGTTAGGAATCTTTTAATCTGTGTTTTCTGATCCTTGTAAGTCTTGATCTCTAACCATCCTAATTCTGTTTCCTGCTCTCAGAACTAAGATCCTTTCACATATCTGTCCTTACCTCATTCTTTACTGACAGGGCTGCTGTATTTTAATTCTGTCTGATTATCTGGAATATTGTATACGGTGAAATATTTATTTCCCAGCCTTATTCACCTTGTAATCATGCTCTAAACAAATTATGCTATTTGTGCTGAGTTCATCTATCTTACTGCGAATGGTTGTTTATTTAGTTAAAGAGCAGAATTTTACTTCTTTATTCCTATTCTTTGTGTGGACCTTATTTGCTGACATTATCAAAATTTTGTCCTTCCTTGCCCTGTTCTGCTTGCCTTTCGTCAAATCAATACACTGCTGGATTGCATAGATTTTTCTCTTTGGATTTCTAAATTTCTTTCACCTGATCCATATCCTCCCACTTTAGATTAAGACCCTATCCGCAGCTCCAGCTATACAGTTTGCCAGGACACAGATCCCAGCTCAGTTTAATTGGTGTCCGTCCCAGCAGAAGGGGTATCTCTCTCCCCAGTACTGATACCTGTGTCCTATGCATTGAAGCCCTTCTTCCCAGACCACTCTTTGAGCCACATGCTTAATTCTCATAAACATGACACTTTGCCAGTTGGTGTGTGCTTCAGCTAACAATCCAGAGACTACTACCTTTTGAGGTCCTACATTTTAATTTGTACCCTAACTTCTCTCATTCTCTCAGCAGAGCATCAATTCAGGTTCGAACTTCCTAAGTCGACAATAATAACTGGTTCCATCACTTCCCACTAGAATTTCCTCTCCAGCAACGGGGAGACTTTCTTAACCTTGGTGCAATGAAGGAAACAGAAATTTTAGTCACAGTATCTAGCCCTATAGCTAAAATATCTCTTGTCACTATTGTGTTCCTTTAGACTCTTCTCTACTTGAGAACCATAGAGCTGTGGTCAGTTTACCTGTAGGTCAAAGTCAAGATCCCACTGTCCTCTGTCATTACGCCCTGGATCACTGTCTCTCTCTGATTCGCAGTCAAGCCATCCTGCCCTTGACCTGTTGACCTACTATAAACTTCTTCCTGAACCTAGTGGGCTTGACTGCCTTGCCAAGACAAAGTGTCTCTGCAGTCGTGGCACACCACCATTCCTGTCATGCATGTCTAATCTTACATATTTATTTGATTTGTTAGTTATGAATTTAGTGAAGTCACAGTAGTTTACAGTCCTCATCTGTAGACAAAAGATAAACACCTTCTAGCTATTGGAGGTAAATCAAAAATTATGAAAAGCGGGATGCAGTAGCGCATCCCCTCTTTACCAAGTTTCCATTTGCATTACCCCATTATGAGGCACTTTGTTTGCTGATCACTCTACGCTTGACACTTTTGAGCACAGGCAGAACCTTCCAACCACAGCCATGCAATTGAGCTGTTAGTGTCTTCACCTTTGGGTGGAAGGCAGTCAGTTAGGACATGGGAAAGCATGCTGCAGAGAGCACAAACTCTCAATCTTGTGACGCTTATGTGGACACTGCCAGCTAAGCAAGGCTGACAGCGTGCTTTTTGGGTAGTGCTACCTCATAAAAATATTGCAGTTGATTAGAATAACCAGTTCCATCAATGCTTAATCCATCCGCCTCTACTGAGAAGCGAACGCAGCAGGTAGGAGAACTGAACGTGTCCGATATCAGGAAGGTCACACACGGATCAGAATCGTAAGAGTAAAACACTTTGGATACTGGAAAGCTGACATAAAGTCTGAAAATGCCAGAAATACTTAGCAGGTCAGGCAACTTCTAGGGTGGTGGGGGAGAGAGAGAGAAACTGAAGTAACGTGTCAGATCCATGACCTTCCATCGGAATCACGAATTACTGAAGCAAGGTCACAGACCCGAAATGTTAACACTGTCTATGCAGTGGCTGGCAGACCTGCTGAGTGTTTCCGTCTTTATTTCAGGGTTAACAAGCACTGACACACTTAAGACAATGCTGTAAAAAGAAGCTGAGTGTTGGTCCCAGTTCCATAAAATGAATTAGTTACTTCCAGATAATTTTCTTTTCTTAATTCCACGAGTGCTTGACTGTGGCTTATGTGGTAGGAACAGCTGGCTGCTGGACTAATGATTGCAGGCCAGGGTGGGGTGGTGCAGAGAGTGGTTATCGTTTGTGGTGCTTTTCTGAAGATGACCAGTGTTACACGTGAGCCAGCGTATATGGTTTTTCTCTTGGTGTCTCACTCATTCTTTTCTTTTGTCTCTCTCCAACAGGGCAGCAAGTTCCTGGGTTCCAGCCTTCGCCTGCTCGAGTGGTGATCACCCGGCCTCCTCCCCCTCCCCCGCGGCAGACCGAGTCAGCATCAGGACCACAACCTGGCCCACAGGTAACTCGCAAAGATAAACCATAGCACAGGGATGACAGCAGATAGAGCCATACAGCGTGGAAACAGACCCTTCAGTCCGTCTCGTCCATGCCAACCAAGTTTCCCAAACTGAACTCGTCCAACTTGACTGCATTTGGCCCATATCCGTCTAAATCTTTCCTATTCATGTACTTGTCTAAATGTCTTTTAAATGTTGTAACTGTACCTGCATCTACCACCTCCTCTAGCAGTTCATTCCACAAACAAACCACCCTCTGCACGAAAAAGTTGCACCTCAGGTCCCTTTTAAATCTCTCTCTTCTCACCTTAAATCTATGCGCTCCAGCTTTGAACTCACCCACCCTCGGGAAATTACGTTTGCTTATTCGCCTTATTCATGCCCCTTATGATTTTATAAGGTCACCCTTCAGCCTCCTGCCCTCCCAGGAAAAAGTCCAGCCTCTCCTTATAACTCAAACCCTCCAGTCTCAGTAACATCCTCATAAATCTATTCTGCACCCTCTCCAGTTTAATAGTACCCTTCCTATAGCAGGGTAACCAGAACTGTACACCTATTCAGCCACTTTGTTTTATTAGGGATGTAGCAAAATAAAAGGACTTTCAGGCTGGTGTCAAATAATACCATGGCTCACATTGATGTTCTTGCACTGTATCTCACTGTTGCGCTGTGCAACTACCTCTGCCAAGTTGTAATAAGTGTGAGAACAGCTGGCAGGCTGTAAAAGGACCATTAGTGAGCAGAAATTGTATAAGATTATGCCCAAGTAGCGCTCCTGGGATGTCTGTGCTGTTCACTGCTTAAATTAACAGCACGAGTCTTGGATATGTTTAAGTTTCCTTTTGTAGTTCAAGTGTCCTCATTACAAACGTGCAGCTCACTTTTTATACCTACTGTTCCACTCCAGGTTCCTCCTGGCTCGACCCCTGCCCCTGATCCTAGCACTGGCACCAGCACCACCCCTGGCCCTGCTACTCTTGCTCAGATGATCACCGGACTGGTTGGGCAACTTCTGATGCAGCCTGTCGTCTTCGGTAAGTGTCTGACTGTCACATGATGCGCAGCCCCTTTTACTTTGTTCTCCACTGTTTTTCTGTCACTTCACAATCCAGGTATCAGTCTGGTAAGCTCACAAGAGGCTATGAGGCCAGCCCCTGTTCTGGGACCAGAGCTCTTAGTCCGGGCTAGTGTTTCGGTGCAACTGAAAACGCAGTCCTTCAGGTGAAGTATTCAGCTCAATGTTCCAGCTGCAACAGTGCTTCTTCCCGTTTATGTTCAGCTGGGGATGTTACAGCGCAAGAACAGTAGCTGGATGCCCACTGCAGAAAGGCCGTGGTGCAGATATGTTAACAGGGTCTGTCGAAGATGGTGGGAGGCAGAGATATTCGGCTGGCACAGACCTGTTGGGCTGAATGGCCTGGTTCTGTGCTGTGAATTCTATGCAGTTATCAGTGCCATGGTGTTTTGTACGATCAGGCAAGCCATTGGAGAAGCTGGATCCTTGCAAGACAGCTCGATTTGTGAGATCATCCTGTGGATATTAATGATGTCTCCCTGTGTATGACTCACTCGCTCGCTCTCTCTAAATTGAGTTTGGTGTTTCCAGTTTATCCAAATGATTGAGTGTTCGTGCGTTCAAGGTAGTTGTACAGGAGCTACCGGTTCAACACTTGGACAGTAATGTGGCAGTTATTGCCCTGGAAAGAGAGTGTAGAGCAGTTTTTAATCTAAGAGGCTGATGTCTGCTTCTGACCAGAAGTGTTAGGAAGTTCTTTATTTTTTAATCATTCACGAATGAGGGTGTCACTGGCTAGGCCAGCCCTTATTGCCCATCCCTAACAGAGTCAACCACATTGCTGTGGGTCTGTCGTCGCACGTAGGTCAGACCAGGTAAGGATGGCAGTTTCCTTCCCTAAAGGATATTAGTAAACCAGGTGAGTTTTTCCGACAGTCCCTCTGTGATTCATGGTCTTAAGCTATTAATTGAAATCAAATTCCACCATCTGCTGAAGCGGGATTTGAACCTGGGACTCCAGAACGTTACCTAGGTCTCTGGACTAACAGTCCAGTGGTAATACCACTAGACTGTTGCCCCCTGGTTCCTCCCCAGTTGTCTTCTGCCTGATGAAGGCTGCAGCGAGCATGGAGCGCTTTGATAAACCCTTTCCAGTCTTGCTAAGTCGTATTTACTCCCAAGAGCCTGTCTATGATATTCCCTCACATGGTTCATGAAATGCAGCCTCCCCATAATTGCCGGTGATTGGAGAGAAGCCGGTGATGGGCCTGTCCTGCTTTTTTCGGCGAGTAAACTTTCTCCACAGCGTTTTTGCGATACTCGGTGAGTGTCTTAAAGTTCTGTCGGGCGGTCTCTCACTTCTCCCTCTTGTGTTCCCCGCAGCCCAGCCCCCGACTAGCGACAGCGGCTCTGCAGCGGCCACCGGCGCCAGCACGACGGCCGCCTCGACCACCGCCACGTCTGCCACGGCTGGCCAAGCCCCCACCTCCACCACCAACTCCACCGGGACCACCGCCTCGGCCACAGCGGATGGCAGCAACCAGCCCCCTGCTGGCCCCCCCGACGTCCAGTTCTCGCAGCTTCTGGGCAACCTCCTGGGAGCAGCGGGCACCGGGGTCGCCGGCGTGGGCAGCGTGGGCTCGCCCACCATCACCGTGACTTTGCCGGGGATGCCGGCCTTCGTGCAGGGCATGACCGAGTTTCTGCAGGTGAGGCGGGGCGCACTCGCAGAAGGGCAGCTGGTGCGCAGCCCTCGAAAAGGGGAAGGGAACGAGGGCTGGAGTGCGGCTGGTGGGTGAAGGGGTGGGCGTGGGAGTCGGGGATAGCGTTTGCTACTCTTGTTACAGAGAGCCAGCTGAAGCAGAGGAATCACAGTCATACGGCACAGACAAGGTCTCTGGCCTATTGGCTAAAGACGCACTAATCCCAGTTTCCTGCACTTGTCCCAAATCCTCGTGTCCAGGCGGCCTCCCACGCTGTATCATTCATTAGACTGCTGCACCATGTGCAAGGAGTAAACCGTGGAGCCTGCTGCCCAAGGTTTGAACCTGTAATTGCTGTCCCACAAAGCAGGAATTAGTACCATTACCCGCAGGCATTTGGTTCCTCAACTCAGTTTGTTTGGATAGGAAATCTGACCAATGTAAACTAGAGCTACATTTGCTGCGTGGATCGCGACCCTTGAAGTCCTTTTCACCAAATTCCGGCCTTTTTCCCACGTCGGTTGAAATTGGGCACGAGTATAAGAAACTAATACGAAACAAGAGATTGCTGGAGAAACTCAGCAGGTCTGGCACAGCATCTGTGGAGAGAAGAGGGATCCCACTCAGACCTGAAACGTTAGCCCTGCTTTCTCTCCACTGATGCTGCCTGGCCTGTTAAATTTCTCCAGAAATTTCTGTTCCTGTTTTTTTTTGTCAGAGCTGTAGCGGCTCTTTGTTTGACGTAAAGATATAGGAGTAGGCTGTCTGGCTCTTGGAGCCTGCTCCACCGTTCAATAATGCCGTGGCTGTTCTGAATGTGCCCTCTAACCCTGCACAAGGGCAAAGCCACACCTGAAGTACTGTGTACAGTTTTGGTCGCCTTACTTGAGAAAGGATGAACTGGCAGTGGAGGGGACGCAGAAGCGGTTTGCTAGATTGATTCCGGAGTTGAGAGGGTTGGCTTATGAGGACAGATTGAGTAGCCTGCGTCTATGTTCATTTGAAGTTAGAAGAATAAGGGGATGATTTAATAGAAACATATGTAAAATTATGAAGGAAATGCATAAGATAGAAGCAGGGTCAAACTAGAACTAGGGGGCAAAGCCTCCAAATAAGGGGGAGCAGATTTAGGGCTGAGTTGAGGAGGAACTTCTTCACCCAAAGGGTTGTGACTCTGTGCAATTCCCTGCCCAGTGAAGCAGTTGTGGCTTCTTCATTGCATGTTATTAAGGCAAAGATAGATTTTTGAACAGTAACGAAATTAAGGGTTATGGTGAGCAGATGGGTAACTGGAGCTGAGTCCATGAAAAAAAATCAGCCATGATCTTATTGAATGATAGAGCAGGCTCGAGGAGCCAAATGGCCTATTCTTGCACCTATTTCTTATGTTCTCATAAACCTCGACGTTTTGGCCCATCAAAAAACTGTCTGCCTCAGCATCAAATGTGTTCAGTGTCCCAGCCTCTGCTGCTTGCGTAGCCAGAGAATTTGAACGACTAACAACCCTCACAAGAAATTCCTCTGTCCCTCCCTCTTCACCCTTCCTCCCCGCATTTTGGAGGCTGTGTCCACTCTATTTCTAGATGCCCCTGCGAGAGATAATGTCCTTTCAGCATCCACCCTTCAGTTTCACATTTCTTTCCAGCCCTCGCCAGAACTCCAATGAGTAAAGGCAAAAGGTCATGCTTTCCTCAGAGTGTCCCAGGAATTGCCTAGGAGTGGATCTGGACTGGGCGATGCATAAGCAGATACTTTGGAAGCACTCGCCTATTATGTGCCAGGACCATGTAGCAAATTTGTTTGACTCTCGGGCGTGTGATAGAAGGATCCTCCTTGTTTTGCATCCCCTATCCAATCTCGTGCCCACTTGTCCCTGGGCAAGAGTTTAGCATCAAAGGTTTGTAATGCGACATTCTCTGTAGTGTCAAGGCCTCTGGGACTGCTCGCTAGATGGAACCGCGGGCCAGCGACTCGCTTGCCTTCACTGTGTCATCTCTCCTTCCACAGGCGGCGCAGGGAGCTGCCACAGCGCCCCAACCGGCTCCGGCCGCCTCCCAGCCGACGACTCAGGCGGCACCTTCTCCTCCTCCTCCTCCTCCTCCTCCCCCCCCTGCAGCTACTGCTCCTCCGCCACAGTCGCAGCCGAGCCAGGACAGGGCCGGCAGCCGGCAGCAGGCCGGAGCAGACACCCTGACTCCGGAGTTCTTCACCAGCGTGGTGCAGGGGGTGCTGTCCTCCATGATGGGCTCGCTGAACGCACAGCAGGGCAGCACGGAGAGCATCGCCGATTTCATCCAGCGACTGAGCGGCACCAGCAATATCTTCGAGCCGGGAGCAGATGGCGCTCTAGGTGCGTTGGCCGCTTTCCCACGTTCGGTTTAATAAACAGGTCGGAGATTTTTTGTTCAGCCACCCGGTTAGCCTCTGAATACATGGCCCTTTGGGCCTCAGAGCAGTCGAGCGGCACTTCTCCCCTGGAGGAGCAGAATGCTGTAGAAAGGGGTTCTTGAATGTGAACGCAGTGTTTGGTATTCACTTGAAGACGTGTCATGTGTTTTATGACTATTATTGTGCATTGAAAAACCAAGGCTATATGGGAATGGGGACTGATATATTTGGTGTGTTTATCGACCCATTCAGTGTTTAACTTTGAGAAAGCATCTTACTATTTCTCAGTTTCATTTGTTCACCTGGTGACCTTCCCCTCTGTTTCAGGTGTAAGTGTTGTGTCTCACCTCCCTGCCTTGCCCTGCGTTTACGTTATCTTGTGCTGTTCTTGTCCGTGCAGGATTCTTTGGCGACCTCCTGTCTCTCATTTGCCAGAACTTTTCCATGGTGGACATGATCATGTTGCTGCATGGTCAGTTCCAGCCCCTGCAACGCATCCAACCTCAGCTGAACCGCTTCTTCCAGGAGCAATACCTCAACAACCAGGAGCCGACAGAACAGACCATCCGGGTAAGCCGAGGAACCAGTCTCCCTGTTTGTTTGTCTGTCACTCTCCCTGCCTTCCTACTGACTCTTCCACTCGCTTTCACCTCACTCCCTCCTTGTCCCACCCTCACTTTCCCCCTTGCCCTCACACCCCTCTTCCTCTCTCTAACACCCGTCCCTGGAATTTCATCAAAGGGTTTTGGCTCAGTTGTTCAATATGAGCCAGTATTTGACCAGGACTGATCTAATCAGGTTGATTCCAGGCCCAAACCTATGAGCCGTTGTAGTGTTCACCTGTTACGTGGTGGGTTTGGGCTTTCTGTAGGTTTGTGCACTGTAGCACCCACAGCATTTCACAGGAACAGTGATCTGCAGGCTGAGGTAACGGCGCAGTGTGGTGGATGCACATAGTTACTGTGGTTTGTGCTGGACAGTCCTTTGCCATGAGGCGATGCACAAATGCATATTCCTTTCATCCTAGGCATCAACAGACGTCTTGATAAATGGTCTGGAGGAGTATATCCAAGAAAGTTTTGTAAGTATGCCCTAAACACACTCACTTGGTGCGGTTGCAGGGGTATAGTGGTGTAATTTTCTTCACTGCACTACTCTCCCACAGTTGTGGAATGATGTGTTCCACGGTAACTTTGAAGTTGCAGTTTGAGGTTCCAGTAATGGGCAGTAGGCAGTTGGCATCAAGCCCCCTGCTCAACATGTTGCATGCTGAGCAGTCAGAGCTGGGGCGACAGGGCGATGGGTTAGAGGGAAGGAAGAGATGCCCCGGCCTGGAACATATTACCACTGTCCTTGCCCTTCCTTTGCAAAGAATGTTAGACTAATTAGTAAAGTTAGATCAGATGGGATTCAGGGTAAGCTTGCCAGTTGGATACAAAATTGGCTTGATGGTAAGAGACAGAGGGTGGTGTTGGAGGGTTGTTTTTCGGGCTGGAGGCTTGTTACCAGTGGTGTTCCACGGACATCAGTACCGGGTCCATTTTTGTTTGTCATTTATATAAGTGATTTTGATGAGAATGTAGGAGGCATGGTTAGCAAGTTTGCAGATGATACCAAAATTGGTGGTATTGTGGATAGTATAGAAGGTTATCTTACTTTACAAAGAGATCTTAATTGATTGGGTGAATGGGCTGAGGAGTGGCAGATGGAGTTTAATTTAGATAAATGAGGTATTACAAACAAGGGCAGGACTTGTACAATTAATGGTAGGGCCCTGGGTAGTGTTGTAGAACAGAGACCTAGGGATTCAGGTACGTAATTATTTGAAATTTGCATCACAGGTAGACAGTGTAGTTAAGAAGGGTCACTGGACCCGACATCTTAACTCTGATGTTTTCTGCATAGATGACGGGCTGAGCAACTTCTGTTTTTGTTTCCGATTTACAGCATCCGCAGTTCCTTGGGTTTTTTATGTGGTTAAGAAGGTGTTTAGCACACTTTCCTTCATTGCTCGGACCTTTCAGTATAGGAGTTGGTATGTCGTGTTGAGGTTGTACAGGACATTGTGTACTGTGTGCGGTCATGGTCATCCTGTTATAGGAAGACTGTTATTAAACAGGAGAGGGTCAGAAAAGATTTACCAGGATGTTGCCGGGAATGGATAGTTTGAGATATAAAAATAGACTGGAAAGGCTGGGATTTCTTCACAGGAGCATAGGAGGTTGAGGAGTGACCTTACTGAGGTTTATAAAATCATGAGCATAGATAAGGTGAATGACAAGGGTCTTTTCCCTAGGGTGTGGGAGTTCAAAACTAGGAGGGATATTTTTAAGGTGTGTGTGTGAAGATGTAAAAAGATGAGGGGCAATTTCTTTACACACAGAACGGTTCGTGTGTGGGATGAACTGCCAGCGGAAGTGGTGGATGCAGGTACAGTTACAATGTTTAAAAGACATTTGAATAAGTATTGAATAGGAAAGGTTTGGAAGGATGTGGGCCAAACGCAGGAGGGTGGGACCTGGTTTAGTTTGAGAACATGATTGGTGCAGACTCGTTAGATCAAAGGGTTTATTTCCATGCTTTATGCCTCTAAATAATTGCTTCCTTGGGGTCTGATAGAGAGCTGATTTTGTTTATAGTAAACGGCCTGATATGAAACCATGCTGCCTGCTGATGATGTTGTTTGTTTTCTCTGTAGGCATCTGTTGTAGTCCGAGATGAAGTAGACATCACTCGTACGAATTTGGATTTCTTAAGGGAGCAGTTCAACAGGATCGCCACACACATTCTCCAGTGCACTGGTACTGTATGCAGTGGCTTCCTGTTTTGCTGCTGCTGCTGTTTGTTTGTTTCCTTCCTTTTGCTGACCCCTCTTTTGCTTCCATCCCTACCCCTTTCTCGCCTCCATGCTAGTTTTCTGCTGGCCTTCAGTTCAAACAGGTGCTTAAGTCGCTCTGGGATTGTTCTTGAAGTAGGGGTTAGGGGTCTCTGAGGTTACTTTACCTGATTAATAAACCTTGTCCCATCCTCCTCAGAGTGACGCATGTGCCAGTTTCTTGGGATGACAAATGGGCAGAAATCCCGGTAAGTTTCCCTCCTGTCAGCAAACTGCAGGGGTTTCTGAGGCTATTTGGTTGAGATCAGCTGTTGCAGCACACGGTCTTGAACCTGCACTTGGATTTGACCCACTGAGCTGTCAGGGAGTGGTAGAGAAACTCTTTTCTCATTCAGTCACTCCTTCATTTGTCTGCTATAGCCTTCTTTCTCTCACTTGTCCTGGCTTAATGTTCTCTCTGACATCTCTCTCTCTCTCTCTCTCTCTCCCCCACCTCCCCTCCCTCTCTCTGTCTCTTCCTACAGACGCTAGTTTTGGTCACCGGCTGCTGGAGTTGTGTAATCAGGCTCTGTTTGAGTGCTTGGCGCTGAACCTGTACAGTCTACGAGGAGAGCAGAGTGCGTTGACCTCAGTAATCAATGATCGGATCGTAAGTGAGCTTTTACGTTCAGGGACCAGAGCAAAACCTCGGGAAATGGCAGCAGATAGCGATGGTGTCTCAGAGGCAACATCACTGGAGTTGTATCGAGAGGCCCAGGCTAATACCCCTGGGGTTATGGGGGGGTCAAATTCCACCGTAGCAGCTTATAAATCTAAAATATAAATCCGAACTTAATTCCAGTTGTTGCTAATCCCAATGTAGACAGTAGCATACCTGTAAAGTCACTGGGTTAGTAATCCTGAAGCATGAGCAAACGTTCTGGCATCGTAGATTCAAATCCCGCCAAAGCATTTGGTGGAATTTAGAATCAATTATTAATTAGCTAATTAATTTAGTTTAATTAATAATCTGGAAGTATAAAATAATGGTGACCATGAAGCTATTTTTGATAGTTTTGAAAGCTCCTTTGGTTCGTCGATATCTATTAGAGAAGGAAATCTTACCATCCTTACTTGGTCTGAACTGCATGACCCCAGACCCTCTCAGCATTGTGGTTAACTGCACTCTGAGAAGTTCTAGCATGCCACTCAGTTCAAGGGAAGACAGGGATGGACAATAAATTCTGGTCTTGCAGGTGGCAATCCCATGAGAGACTCCAGTACAAATCCGAGTTTCTAAACGTCTTACGGCACTCGTGTATCGCAGCATGAAACGACGGCTGTATTTGAGGCACTGTTGTAAAACTTGGCTAACTATGCCTTCCTGCATACTGCCCCTCCCTTCCTTTCCCCTTCTCTCCTCCCCTTTCTCCTTCTCTTCCTTTTCCCTCCTTTTTCTTGAATCCTTCCGTTTGGTCCCACTTAACCCTGAAACCCCACTTAACCTTCAGACTGTGCATCAGCGCATCAGGTCAATGGTGCTCCTGATTACGATTCGCTTGTTAGCCCCAATGCTGCAGTGTTCCGAAGTGAGTTTAGGCTGGGAGCACTGTGTTCTAATTGCCTTTCATTCCTCTTCTGCTTTTCTTAAATCACCACAGCGGCGTATGTCGGTGGACGTCAACCCCTCACTGGTGAACTGGCTGACCACTATGATGGCAATGAGGCTACAAGTGATCATGGAGCACATGCCAGTGACAGAGGAGCAGATCCTGCAGTATGTCAGGAGGAGGCCGCCTCTGCCTCAGGAGCCAGCAGCCCAGCAGGTAATTTGCTATTAACTCTGGCAAAGAGGGAAAACATCCCTACGTTCTAGTGTTAAGTGCCCAAGATTGCCTTTTGTCAGATTGCTGCCACTGAGGCGTTGCCGAATGAATTTGCACGGATGTACCATCCGCAGTCTCATTTACAGTCAGTAGATTATGCTTAAACTGTAGTGGCTGTTCTGTACCGGAAAATGCAGCATCCTAGGTCCCCCAGCCAACAATACAATAAAGACCAGGTCAGTTATTATGGGGTCAAAACATAAAACACTGGAATGAATCAGAAGGGAGGAGGTCCTGATGGAAGGTCATCGACCTGAAAGGTAATTCTGAAACAAAAACAGAAAATGCTGGAAATAAGAGAGTTCAGACACCGTCCATGGAGGGAAAAGCAGGTCGTTTAGGTGATGGCTGAAGATGAATATTCTGAGGTCGCTGTGGGGAAACCCTCCCACTTCCCAAAAAAAAAGCAGCACTCTTCTTCCCAACTAGTGCTGTGGAGCTTTGACAGATCTGATCTGGAGGTAGCTTACCAGTTAACCCTTCCTGCACCAGCTCCTTTTTTTTTTGACTGGTATTTGTGATGCAGAGCTGTTCTCATCCTTCATTGAACTCCCCAGGCTGAATCGTTATGTGACCTTGCATGCTAGTTTGGATGCTGAGTCTTCTGCAGACGGTTGCACAGTGTTCAGCACCGTTCACAATTCCTTTGTACTTAAGCAGTCCGTTTGTAGCAAGACTCCGACAATATCCAGGCTTGGGCTGACAAGTGGCAAATAAAAGCAAAATGCTGCAGATCTTAGAAATGTGAAATGAAAGCAAATTTCTGGAGAACTCAGCAGGTCTGGCAGTATCTTGTGGAGAGAGAAAAACAGTTGATGTTTGGAGTGTGTTAATGTGTTCTGCGGAAGGGTCATCAGACCCAAAACGTTAACTCTGTTTATCCTTCACAGATACTGCCAGACCTGCTGAGCTTTTTCAGCAACTTTGTTTTTGTTCCTGATTTACAGAGTCCGCAGTTCTTTTGGTTTTTATAGAGAAAGAACCTAAACGTAGTCCCTTGGTATTCAGCGGTTTTATCATCACGGAATCCCTCACTAGCCATATCTGGTTGGGGGGTGCGCAGTTACTGTTGACTAGTAACTGAACTGGACTAGCTATTATATATACTGTGCCTATGAGAGTAGGTCAAAAGCTGGGAATCCTCCGTGAGTAACTCTCTGAAGCCTATCCACCATCTACGAGGCACAAATCAGGAGTGCGATGGAATGTTGCACACTTGACTGTATGAGTTCAGCTCCACCAACAGTTGAGATGCTTAACACCATCCAGGGCAAAGTAGCCTGCTTGTTTGGCACCACATCCACAAACATTCAAACCTTCCAAAGTGATGCTTAGTAGCTGCAGTGTATACCCTCTACAAGGTGCGCTGCAGAAGTTCGCCAAGGCTCCATAGACAGCACCTTCTAAACCCATGTTTGCTGCCACCTAGAAGTAACAGGTAGATGGGAACACCACTACCTGTAAGTTCCTTACCAAGCCAGTCGCTAGTCTGACTTGGAAATATGTTACTGCTCCTTCCACATTGCTGGGCCAAGGTCCTGAAATTCTCTCCCTGACAGCTTGTGGGTCTACCTACAACAAATGAACAACAGTGGTTTAAGATGGCAGCTCACCAGCACCTTCTCAAAGGCAAGTAAGGATGGACAATTAATGCTGGCCCACACATCCCACAGATTAATTTGTTTAAAAAATGCAAGTTATCGATATACTAACAGTGCTTTCTTCAATGCAGAACGTGTCTGAGGAGTGTATGGAGGAGCACCCAATAGAGTCTGAAGAGGCTGTACAGGAAGCACCACAGGTAATGAGAGAAACCCCCAGCCTTTTAAAAGCAACAGGCAGACCTGAAATGTTCACTTTCAGCACAATTCTTAAAAGCCAGCCTTCCAGCCTGGCCACTCTTGGTAAATACTGCACACCAATTTGTTACTCTGACGAGGTAATGGATGCAGACCTCCCACTTTCAAAGACCTTGGTGCTCTCTTGTGGCATAGTGGTAGCGCCCCTATCCCTGGACCAGGACACCCATGTTCAAGTCCCATCTGCTTTGTTAAGTGTGTGAGTACACCTCTGAACAGGTTGATTAGAAAAATGGATTATTTTTTAAAATGTCGAATTCCTTGGTCTGGAGCAGTTGATGGAAGTTATCTAATAACAGCCAGCTCTTGTCAGAATGCAAGCACAGGCAGATAATGACAGGAGCCCACACATATCTCCTGCTGCTTTGAGACAGAGTTTTGGATGGGGCTGGTGTGAACATAGCTGACAATGCATGAGATGAACAAGCTGCAATCAGCATACCTTGTGGCTTTGATTCACTAAACACTGTGCAGTGACAGTCGGGAAACTGGGGATGGTTGAAATCCTATAATGGCAGCGACAACTTTTCTAACGCAGTGAGGGCAACGTGCTGCTCATGGTTGGGGAGTTGGGCGTTGGTGGGGTAGGATGTGACAAACCATCAGTGATTTCAAAAGGAGATTGACCATCGAAATATATGTATGGGCCACTTTTGGAATGCTCCGTTCAATTCTGGTCACCCTGCTGTAGGAAGGATGGCATGAAACTTGAAAGGGTTCAGAAAAGATTTAGAGGGATGTTGCCAGGGTTGGGGGTTTGAACTGTAGGGAGAGGTTGAATAGGCTGGGGCTACTTTCCCCGCAGTGTCAGAGGTTAAGGGGTGACCTTATAGAAGCTTATAAAATCATGAGGGGCATGGATAAGGTGAATAGTTGAGGTCATTTCTCCCAGGATAGGAAAGTCCAAAACTAGAGGGCATAGATTTAAGGTGAGAGGGGAAAGATTTAAAAAGGGACCTAAGGGGCAACTTTCTGATGCAGAGGGTGGTAAGTGTATGGAATGAGCTGCCAGAGGAAGTGGTGGAAGCTGGTATAATTACAACATTTAAAAGGCTCTGGATGGATGTATGAACAGGAAGGGTTTAAGAAGGATATGGGCCAAATGCTGGCAACATTGGACTAGATGAATTTAGAAAATCTGGTCAGCATGGACAAGTTGGACCAAAGGCTCTAATCCGTGCTGTACAGCTCTATGACTCTGTGGCTGCAGGGCCTGAGCAGAGACAGTGGGGCTGACTGAATTGCTCTGCAGGGACCTGACGTGGACATGCTGGGCCACTTTGGTTTCACAATCATAGAACGAAGCTATGTGTTGAGACCCTCGCTGCTAGTTGGCGTTTTCAATATTGAAGGGGAGGTGATGGCGTAGCGGTATTATCGCTGGACTGTTAATCCAGAGACCCAGATAATGTTCTGGGGTCCCAGGTTTGAATCGCACCACGGCAGATGGTGGAATTTGAATTCAATAAAATAGCTGGAGTTTAGAATCTAATGATGACCATGAATCCAGTGTCGATTGTTGGAAAAACCCACCTGGTTCACTAATGTCCTTTAGGGAAGGAAACTGCCATCCTTACCTGGTCTGGTCTGGCCTACATGTGACTCCAGACCCACAGCAATGTGGTTGACTCTTAACTGCCCTCTGGGCAATTAGGGCATGGGCAATAAATGCTGCCTGGTCAGCATCGCCCCTCATCCCATGAATAAATAAAGAAAAAAAGATTGGAATTCCTCACCAGCTAACCTACCATCAAAATCTTACCCTGAGAACATTATCTCAAGAGGCCCTGTAATTTCCTTCCCTGCTGTTTGTTGACGTGTCTGTGCCCTCTGTTTTATTTTGTTTTAATTGAGAGTTTATGTAGATGCCGGTTGCCTTTAAAACGTGACCCCCCCAGTGCCCCCCCTCCTTCCCAGTAATTTAGGGCATTTTTGCTTTGGCTTGACAGAGGAAGGACTCGACTGCTTCTCCGGCTCCCGCCACCACCGCGGAGGAGGTGATGTCGACGGAGCCTGCTGTATCGATGGGGGCAGACGCTGCGCAGAGGGAAGGGTCGGAGGCAGAGCCTTGGGTGGCTGCTGTGCCACCGGTAAGTTACTCCATGTGTGCAGCGCAGGAGCGGGTCAGCTGTCTTCACTGATCCATTGAGATTTCCGTAGCTCCACTCAGCCTCCACAGCCTATCCCTCCCTCACCGTCCCTCCTATGTTTACCTGGCAGTCCCTTCAGCGCAGTTACGCTGCTCGATATCAACGTTCTGGTTCCACGTTCCCGCCGTGCTCCAGGTCATAAAGTATCTCCTGAATTCCCTATTGGGTTTACCGATGACTGTTTTTTGTTAGTGACCTCTCGTCTTGCAACCGCGCCCCCCCGGCCACACGTGAGAATCTTTCCTCCGCAGATTCCCCTGCCAGTCCTTTCATGATTTTAAAGTCCTCCATGAAATTATCCCTTGGTTTTCTGTGGAAGAGCCCCAGCCTATAAAACAAAAGATCTATGTCTTGTTTCTCATACCCAGGAGGGTGTTTCTTTCTCTATTCTTTTTGTGGGATATGGGTGTCGCTGGCTGGCCAGCATATCTTGCCCATCCCTAGTTGCCCTTGAGAAGGTGGTGGTGAGCTGCCTTCTTGAACCACTGCATTCCTCCTGCTTGGGTTGACCCACAATGCTATTAGGGAGGGAATTCTAGGATTTTGACCCAGCGACGGTGAGTATTGCGACAGGCGATATATTTCTAAGTCAGGATGGTGAGTGACTTGGAGGTGGTGGTGTTCCCGTATATCTGCTGCCCGTGTCCCTCAAGATGGAAGTGGCCGTGGGTTTGGAAGGTGCTGTCTGAGGATCTTTGGTGAATTTCTGCAGTGCATCTTGTAGATAGTAACTTACAGGTTGTGGAGCTCGTTAGTCACACCCCACCCCAGCCGCCAAAGTCAGACGTTGTCCAGCCCCTGGGACAGGCAGGGGGTTCAGTTCTGGCCCTCTGGAAGTAGACAGAACAATGGGTCAGTCTCTGTTTTTTTTTCCCCCTTTTTGGGACCGACTGGTGCAGCGGGTGAGACGCTCTGCCCCTCTGGGACTGGGCAGCGCAGTGGGTTCAGTGCACATGTTTGTGACTTTTTGTTGCTTTCCATCTCAGGAGTGGGTGCCCGTAATCCGACAGGACATCCAGACCCAGAGGAAGATGAAGCCACAGCCTCCTCTCAGTGACGCCTACCTCAGCGGCATGCCAGCTAAACGGCGAAAGGTACCGCACTTTCCCTGTGATCTTATCCATGTGTCTCTCACTTCAGCCAATGCTAACGGGTTTGATAAACGTAACAGGAGAACAATGAAAGTGAGCTGGCTGTCAAGTTGATCTATAAATGGCTCCTTGGATTTTATAGAGGTATTAAACCATTGGTTAGTACTCATCTGGGATATTTTACCTAACCCTGGCCTTGCACTTCAGAAAAAACAAAATTGTTAAGATTTTGAGGAGAAAGCCAAACAGATTTGTTAAAAGGATACTAGAGATGAAGCTGTATAGAGAAGCTGAGATTGTCCTCGCTCATATGGAGAGCAGGTTATGGCATGAATGGTGTTTCAACAGAGTAAATGAGGAGAAACTAATTATCATTAGGTAACCACATGAACCAAGTTTACAAGAATTGGCTCAAAAATCAGCAAGTCACGATCTGCAGTGCACTTCCTGTGAAAGGGTGGTGGAAGCAGCAGCAATTTTTTTTGACAAGGGTTTGTATGAATTACTTGGGAAGGACTGTTTTCAGGTTATATCAGTGGCAGAGGAGTAAGGCTAATTGTGTAACTCTTGCACAAAGGGCGAGCAGAATGGCCTCACCGTGTGCCGTACGATGCTATAAAGCGGTTCAGAAACAGTGAAGGTTTTATTCTTTTCTGTGACGTCTCGTTTTCGGGACCCTTTACCCGATGCAGTGCAGCCAGTGTCCCAGTGCGACAGCTCGGTGATATTTAAATTCAGCAAATGGAACCTGGATTTGAAAGCTGACCGCGGGGATGGTGACCACGGAACTGTCTTCGATTGTCATTAAAAACCCATCTGTTTGTTGAGCGACCTCTAGGAAGGAAAATCTGCCACCCTTACTTGGTCTGGCCTGCACGTGACTTCAGGCCCACAGCAGTAAGCTCAGCCACCCTCTGAAATGACCTAAAAAGTCACACAGACCAAGAGCAGCTAGGGACAAACAACAGATGCTGGCCTTTCCAGTTCTTCCCATGAAAGAATATTTAAACATTGGCCTGCTTTTTTATGATGACACGCAAATATCCTGTCACTTCTGCATCAGTGTTTACCATTGGATCTGGTGAAGTAAACATTTAGACTAGAAATGTGTTTGTGAGCCATTTTCCTGTTATATTATTGTAAAGTCAGTTAGCTGATGTGAAACACGAGCTTCTGAATTATCTTTACCAATGCCTCGGCCGTCTATGCGTTTTCTTTGACGTTGAACAGTTAACCAGTATTACTAAAGAAAAGCTTTGTGTCTCCTGGTTGGAATCTGCACTAAGTCAGTCAGGTTGTCATGAAAGCTGGTGTTGTTCGATTCAATGGTGTCAGACTGATTTTGCATCTAACTCCATCTATCTGCTTTGGTTCTGTAATCATTGATACTTTTACCCGACAGAGGTATGTATTAGATTCTAAATAGATTCCAAGTTTTAGCCACTTCTCCCCGCTAACCCCCACCCGCCACACCCAGATTCACATTACTTTAAGCGAGAGAGTTTTACATTTCTGCTACACCTTGTGTAAGTGCTTTCTGACACTGTCCTAAATGACCTAGCTCTAATTTGCATCAGAGAAAATAGTTTCTGTCAATCAACTTGGTTAAATCCTTGAGTCAACCGTCCTGGTGACTGCTGCCTGCACTTTTCTATCACTCCTCCCTTAACACTCCACAGTACTGGACTGAAATCGAGATAAGGATAGGGCCAATACAGTCCCTCACTGGTGTGCTTTCCTGGTCCTGTCTTCTCTACCCCAGCCCCCAAAGTTGTCAAATTGCAACACACTCTGTTCTGTTCCATGTTTTATAAAAGATCTTTAGCAACCTTAAACAGAAGGTTACAGGTGTGCTACAACAATCATGTGATGTGCAAGCAGTAGTGACCTCTCTCTCTCCTGGCGGTCGCTGCTTTGAGCCCAAATGCACACTTGACTCTGAAAGCTTCCTTCTGTCTGTTGCAGACGATGCAGGGTGAAGGGCCACAGCTCTCTCTGGCAGATGCCGTGGGTAAAGCTGCGAAAGCTGTAGGCGTCAAACCGGTCACCAGCGCAGAGAGCCTAGCTCAGGATCTGGAGAAAGCAGAGGCCCAAGAAGCCTACAGGCAACAGGTAAGAGGGGGAAAATTGAACTGAGGTGACGTTGAGCAGTGAGAGATGAAGATTGTTTAGCTCAGAGCAGGGATGCGGAGATTGCAGGAGAACTCAGGCTGGGGGAGAAGAGTGTACCACGGCTTTCCAAAAAAAAAGCGTTAGACGAGGAGACTAGTACAAATCTTGCTTTAGTGCTGATTGGGAGGTGGAGCAGAAAGTGCCAACACAGTAAAATGTTGAAGGCTGAAGGTGGGGAATGTTCCCTCTGTCAGACAGTGACTTTTCTCTTGACTTTCTACCTTGAGTGTAAGAGATCTGCTAGAGAGTTGGTCTCCCCCTATACTGGGGGTGTTCCAGTTTGGCCTTTTGTTGAACTCTGATTTTAATTGCTCTGTCAACTGGGTCGGGGAGGGCGGGGGTTTGGGGGGCTGGGGGGAGCAGGGGGCGTGGTGTTGATGCCTTCAGCTGTCTAGGCCCTAACTTCTTGGAATTTCCTCTTTATACCTCCTGTTTTCTGACAATACACCTTAGAACCCACCTCTCTGTCCAAGTTGTGGGTCACCCAACCTCATACCTTGCAGAGCTGGCGGAGGTTAGAGAGATGAGGAAGGTTGGAGGCTGCATGAGGATGGAAGCTTTAAAACTGACTCATTAGTGGAACTTCTAATTTAAAAAAAAGTCAGTGCATTTTTATTTTTATTTTTATTCATTCATGGGATGTGGGCCACCATTTACTGCCCATCCCTAATTGCTCAGTGGGAAGCTAATACCCTACTGCTGTGGGTCTGGAGCCACAGCTAGGCCAGACCAGGTAAGGATGGCACCTTTCTTCCCTCAAGGACGTTGGTGAACCAGATGGGGTTTTTCTAAAAATGGACAACGTTTTCGTGGTCATTGTTAATTCAGATGCTACCGCCTGCAGTGATGGGATTTGAGCCTGGGCCCCCTCAGCAATAATGCCACCGGAGCCATCACCTCCCCCTGCATTTCCTACATTCCCAGACCCAAGAGGGGGTACGGTTAGACAGTGTCATTGCTACTGGTCGCTGGCTTGTGGTGGATGAAGATACATTTGGAGTCAAATGTGTTACGTCCCAAGCGGTAACCTTACTGTTCTGGAAATAGACGCAGCCCCTACCCCCAACCTGGCAGCCAAACTAGTAGGCAATAGTTTCTATAATGGTGAAAGTCCGATGCCTGGCAACGACTGCAGGTACGTGGGGAAAAAGAACAGGAGAGTGGGACTAACTGGGATTGCTTTTTAGAAGAAGCCAGTATGGATTTGTTGGGCCCAGTGGCTGCCTCCTGGTTCCTGGGAAGGGAGACCCGTGAGCGTTGGGCGAGGGGAGGATTTGAGGGCTCGATGTGATCCCGTTGTTTTCCCTCCTTCCAGATTCAGTCCGACATCCAGAAGAGGATAAGAGAAGACCCGGAATACAATGCAGAGCGGTTTCCAAACACACACACTGCCTTCGAGGAGCCCTCATAGTGCCACCTCCATTCTCTCCCAAAAACCCCACCTCCGTCGGGACTTGAGCTACTTGTCCAGTTTCTGACCAGGGAGCAAGCCGAAGGTTCCCATGTTGTGTGCGTGTGTCGCCGTTGAGAATCCACTCACTGTCCACACTGTTCATTATTCTCCTCCCGCCACGGAAATCCGTGTAGCACTTTTTTTTTGTTGTTTGTTCTCAATCTTGAATAAAGTACCACAGCTCTGTGCAGCAGTGAAGCCTGATAAACCTCGACAAAGCCTTTTCTCCGTATTGCTTCTCAGCAAAGGAAAGTGGTCTCCTTTCTTTCCCACCCACTCCCCTCACCCCCCT